CTGGAGGTGGAGGCAGAGGTGAGAAAGGAGATGCCAGGAGATTCCCAGGTTTCTGGCTTGATTCACTGTTCATGAAACTGAAAGGAGATTCGGAAAACAGGATGAAGAGACGATTGCAGACATGTTAGCCTGCAGGATTCTCAGTGAAGCAGCTCAACAATTATTTGGAGAAACAGAATAAAGACCACTGAGTTCAAAACTTGAAACAAATCAAGAATTCCTTTATTTGAGCTGCAAAAAAATGTCTACATAATAAACCAGCCCAAAAGTCAGTGCCAGAAGTCTGAAACTTGACATTGGGTGTCATACTTGCAGATCTGTGGGTGACTACATGTGGCCTGCCTACTTCTGTCTCTGACTTGGATCATCAGGCTTGGCTCTAGGCAGAGTGCAGGTCTGTTTCATGCAGCTCTCAACCTCTGATTCAGTGGCTACTCGGAATGTTTTTGAGATGACTGGCAAGGGTTATGAAAATGCATAGTGCCTGCAGACTCGCCCACTGTGGCTTCTGCCCACCTTAAGGAAAATGGTCACGTGGATGGCGGAAGCCATGCTACCAACTGTCAGCACGACTGGAAATATGCTTCACCATGTCATGCACTGCAAAGTCACCTGGCAGGAGGGAATGAGAAACTGAAGACAATATCCAATCATCCAGGCCAGTCGGCTGTTTCCTGTTACATCATCAGCTCTCTTTTGCCACTCTGTTTCCAGTCTCTGGGTCACTCCAGCCTCAGATTCCCTTCTGGTCATCTGACTTATGGTATAATGCAATGATCATGATTCAGCTGGGCAGCCTTGGCCTGTACGACTTTTGAGAATTCTGTTCCCAGTTCTTCCTTACTAGCTGTGTGGCCCGGGAGAGTCAAGCTGCATCTGAGACTACATTGTCTGCCCAAAGCTACCTTCTAAGATTGTCATAAAAATTAAATAGGCCAGGGCTGGGGATGTGGCTCAAGTTATAGCACACTCACCTAGCATGCATGCGGCCCGGGTTCGATACTCAGCACCACATACAAACAAAGATGTTGTGTCCGCCAAATACTAAAAAATAAATATTAAAATTAAAAAAAAATTTAATTAGGCCAGGGGCTGGGTTGTGGCTCAGCAGTAGAGCTCTCGCCTCGCATGTGCAAGACCCTGGGTTCGATCCTCAGCACCACATAAAAAAATTATAAGTGAAATAAAGGTGTTGTGTCCAACTACAACTAAAAAATAAATATTAAAAAAATTAAATAGGCCAGGTGCAGTGGCACATGCCTATAATCCCAGCAGCTCAGGAGACTGAAGTAGGAGTATCTTAAGTTCAAAGCCAGCCTCAGCAATTTAGTGAGGTCCTGAGCAACTCAGCAAGACTGTCTTAAAATAGAAAAATTTTTTAAAAGGCTGGGAATGTGGCTTAGTGGTTAAATGCTCCTGAGTTTAATTCCTGATACCAAAAAAAAAAAAAAAAGAAAGAAATATTTTGTTCCTCAGTCTTATTGATTCCAATTCACTCAAAGGATATTGTTTTAGATTCCTCAGACAATTCTAAGGCAGCATCCTTGGTCTGTACCATGATATTTAGCTCTTACTTGAATAGGTCACTTTTTCACATGTTAAAACACTTACAGGAGCTGAGCATGGCACACCTGTAATCCCAGCAACTCAGAAGGCTGAGGCAGGAGGATTACAAGTTTGAGGCCAGCCTAGCAATTTCGTGAGTTCCTGTCTCAAAAAAAAAAAAAAAAGGAAAAAGAAAAAATGCAGCTCAGTGGTTAAGCACTCCTGGGTTCAATCTCCAGTACCAAAAAATAAAAATAAAAACTTGCAGGTGAGTCCTGCTTTTCATTATTTTTTCTATTTTTCTTGTTACTGGGGATTGAATGCAGGAGCACTTTACTACTGAGCTACATCTCAGTTCTTTTTATTTTTTTTATTTTGAGTTAGGGTGTCCTTAGTTGCTTAAGGTCTAGCTTGGTTACTGAAGCTACCCTTGAACTTGGAATCCTCCTGCTTCAGCCTCCTAAGTCACTGGTATTATAGACATGAGTCACTAAGCCTGGGTCATTATTTCTCAAAAGTACATTGAGAATATACTTTCCTAAGCCTCACTTTCCTTGGTGAAGTAGGGACACTGTCACTTACAAGCCTTGGGCTTAGTTCTGGCACACAGCCTGGCCAGGAAGCACACTGTACTATCATTTTGCTTGATCCAGACTCTAATAGCTGCATGACACCCAGCAGGGCAGCTACAAGAGCACTGTGGTTGCGGCAGGGAAGGTGGGGATAGTGAAAAGGCACTCGCTGCTTCTCTTCCCACAGGTATGAGCAAGAACACACATCCCCCATTTTCCACACAAACATGGACTCAGATATACATGAGCAGTGGGTCATGTCACATTGGTGCTGGGAATCAACAGCAGGCAGGTTGTCAAGTGTAGTGACAGCAATAATAACTACAGAAAGAGGGTGGAGGTGCTCCTATCCCACTCACAGCAGCACTGCAAGGAGTGTCAAATTAAAGCCTGCATCTTCTTTACCTCAGTTTCTAAATTCTTTTTGTTTTTGTTTTTGGTACCAGGGACAGAACCCAGGGGTGCTTAACCACTGAGCCATATCCCCAGTCCTTTTTTAAAAAAATATATTTATTTTTTAGTTGTAGTTGGACACAATACCTTTATTTATTTTTATGTGGTTCTGAGGATCGAACCAAGGGCCTCGCACATGCTAGGTGAGCGCTCTACTGCTGAGCCACAACTCCAGGCCTCCCCAGCCCTTTTTATATTTTATTTAGAGACAGGGTTTCACTAAGTTGCTTAGGTTCTCACTAAGTTGCTGAGGCTGGCTTTGAACTTGTGATTCTCCCGCCTCAGCCTCCCAAGCCACTGAGATTACAGGTGTGCATCACCATGCCTGGCTTCAAATTCTTTCTTTACACTTTGGTTTCACAGGTACAAATGGTTTTATATACATCATTTACACTTTGTGATTACAAATACATACACTGTACCGAGTTAATGTGGTGGAAGAACATTTCACACTTGGACAAAGCATGAGGAAGTGTTTATTCATTTTCACACCTAATAACATAATAGAAAACACTGATTGAAACCCAGCTGGCTAGAAATACAGCACACAGTGTTGATATTGTGTTCACAGAAGGCAGAAGTGTTCTGATCCTGAGTGTCCAATATCACAAGGCTCTAGAGACAGGTTCCATTTAATGAAGTGACTAGAATGCCTTCAGAATGGACATGCTAACTCTGCAGGAACAGAAGGGGCCTAAGCCAAACTGCACACTTTCAAACACAAGGAATGAGTCACAGTAAATTACAATAATTACAATGCTGTTTTTTACATCCCAAGAATCGTGCTCCAAGCTCCAGTTCTTAGTGTGCAAAAGAAATCCTGGCATGTATCTTTTGAAACAGATGACAAAAATATATCCTCCCTTCCTCTTATAATCTCAGGCCTTCACAGGAAAACAAGAAGGCAGAATACTTTGCAAAGGAGAAAAGTTAAATGCTCTACGGGAGGGAAACATGGCTCAGAATTATAGTACTTTTCCTGCATGCACAAGACCCCAGGTTCAATAGCCAAACACACACACTCATATTAGGTGCATCCAAATTTCTGAAGAAAAATTATCCATATCATGCACCATGGCACACACCTGTCATCCCAGCAACATGGGAGGCTGAGGCAAGATATCAAACGTTCAAGACCAACTTGAGCATTTTAGCAAGGCCCTAGGCTACTTAGCAAGACCCTGTCAAGACCCTGGGGATGTAGGTAAAGTGCACCTGGAGTCAATCTCCATATATATATATCCATAAAAAATAATTATGAGAGAACATAGAAGACTCAACATCTACAATGAAAGAAAACCAATTTGGACTTTGCATTTTAAGGTGCAGAACCAATAATAGTGATGGGGGAGGAAAGTAGGAATGGTCTATTCAGCTCTGCACTACTTACTGCATGTAAACAGAAGGCAATCAACGTATTACTCTTTTTTCATCCGCTGTCCCTGCGGACACCATGTTTTTCCCAAATCATATGCCTCGAAATGGCAAGAGCCATTTGCATTCACTTTTTCTAAGAAAGGAGAGACTTTCATAAGAAAACTTGTGAAGTTTTTCTCCCAAAAGTTTCTCAGGGCATCAGAAATGGCTTCCTCCATGTTTCTGATGGGTCCATCTCTTCTTTTTTGGACAAGTTGTGTTAAACCCTTAACTAGCATATGAAATGACTCATCAAGCACAGGAGTCCAGGTGCCTAGAATTTTCATTTATTAGAGGATCGAGGGCAGAGTTTGAGTCCTCCAGCAGGCAGACCTCATCGGGTGGGTTGATGTGATGTGGTATAAGTTATGGAGCCTGTGGAATGGCAAGGTTGACACCGGGTCCCTGCAGCTTTATTGTCACTTTCTGAGGACAGTAGCCCCCTCTTCCTTGTGCTCTGCTGCACCCCAGGAACCAGCACAGTGCCTGGTCACGGACAGGAAGCAAAACCCCCTCTTATTGGCTTGTGTGGTGAAAAGGGCTGGAATTCAAAGAATAGGACTAGGAATCATGCGAGGCCCAAGTGGCTCTTCCTCAGAGCCCGGACAAGCTCTGAGGAAGGAGCACGAGTGAGGTCAGCAGGGAACTCTGGTTCGCTAATCGTGCCTCCGAGGCCTGGCCAGGACAGCACGTCGGCTCTGGGGTCCGCTCTGCCAGAGCCTCGCCAGGAAGGCCAGAGGCAGCGGCGCGACCACCAGTCCTGGGCCTTCTAAGCGCTGGACTGGACGCTGCTCTAGGCAGCGGACCCGCGGGGGAAGGACCAGGACACAGGCCTCGAGGTACAAAGAGCCCCCCCGAACCGCTCACGCTCCAGCGGGACCTGCAGCCCCGACGTCGCCATCCCATTTGCAGTGACCCACGCGGGTGCTGGGCCCAAGTTCTAAACCCGGGGCGGAGCCTCGCGAGACCCAAACAAGCCCACGTGGCAGGGGCGTGGTCACACCGGTGACGTCACTGCGCGCTCGTGCGCAGCCGAGGTCGCGCGCCCGTCATACCCTTGCTGGGGGCCTTAAAGCGCGGAAGGTCGCGGGCCCCATCTTCCCCGGAACTTTTTATTCCTCAGGCCCGCCCCTCTTCCCCCACCCGCTTCCCGCTCTCCTGCCCGCGGCGAGCCCCGCACCCGCCGTGCCGCGCTTCGCTTCGGCCGCCGTGTTGTTGAGCGCGGAGCGCGAGCGGCCGCTGAGGTAAGGAGACAGCCGTGGGGTCGCTCTGGCTCTCCCGGCCCGCGCGGCCCTCGCGCCCCGGGACCCCCGTGTTGCCCGCTTCGCGCTTGCATCTGTCCCAGAAGCGGTCCCTTGGTCCCTTGCTGCCCGTGGGCTTCGCCTTGTTCTCCTGGAAAGACGCGTCCTGGCGTCAGTCCACCCGCGTTGTTCGTGCCTCGGGGGCCCGCGCCGGCTGTCCGGGCCTTCGCGCTGGCTCTTCCAGGTGCGCGCGTTTCAGCCGAACGCCCGCGGCGGCCCGCGGACCCCGCTGCGGCTGGGAAGTGCACGCCCCTGCAGCGCAGTCTGCTCCCGGCGCGGCTAGCCCGGTCCCGCGTCTCTGCAGGTGAAATCGTTTTCCCGCCTTCACGCGCGTGGTCCACCTGTGCTTTGCTCACTCAGACTGCTGCAGCGTCTGGCAGAAGTTATCTGACGGTCTAGGCCAGGGCGGTGGGATTTCCTCCTAACGTGTGGCACTCTGGGACTGCTGTGTGTGATACTCGGTTGAGTCGGGAATCTGCAAGCCTCTTTTGCGCGTGCATTGAAAGTACAGTGTGCAGGGCTGGGGTGGAGAGTGGGAGAGGCCGAACGGTCCGTTTTCCGTGGTAGGGATTTGAGACTGACAAACTCTTGGTCACCAGGTGCACTTGTTTAAAACTATAGCACCCTGGACCAAGGGATCAGAATCTCCAGAAGTGGAGCCTGGGGCTTTTGCTTTTAAATCGGTGTCTCTGGCAGTTCTGCTGAGACTGCTGAGTTCTGCTGTGGCAAATGTTGTGTTAGTCCATCTGTACTCACCAAAGTTTCCTTGTGACCAGCAGCCCACCTGTGCCTAATGCTGTAACTCGGGAGCTAGCTCGTCACCTTGCTGCTGTTGGTATAAGCAGATCTGAGCAGACCTAGGCTGTTCAGCAGGAGCTCCTGTCTGTATTACAGTCGTTTTCAAGAACTTTAAAACAAACTCTTTAAACCAGATGGTGTTTCATTTCTTTGTCATCTTCAGTATCTTTCTCGCTGACTTTACCTCCTTTGCTGTCATGCTTTTTTTTCTTCTTCCCATTTTTCTGCCAAACCTGCTGGAGGTTTTCTCTGTCTTGTCTGTTTACTTTAAACTCTTCTTCCCTCACCTTTTCAGTCTCTTGAAGGTCATGATAAGCAAAAGGTCAGCAGTCTCTTGGTTCTTATCACCTTGGGCTTTTAACATGGTTTATTCCAATTTGAAACTCCTCTCTTGTCATGTTTCTTCTTCTACCTTTGCAATTTCATTTTCCCTCCTTGGGGATGGACCTTGGGTTCTGTCCTCATAGCTGCCCTGTCCTGGCTCATCTCCTTTTATTGGAAAGGTAGCAGGGAAGTGGTGATAAACAACAGGTTCTGGTGCCAGACTGGCAGGGTTTGAATCCTGGCTGTGCCTTTACCATGATACAGGAGATTGGGTGAATCACTGCACATAATGTGTATCTGTTTCCTCAAAAGTAGAATAGAAATGATGATGATATCTACCTCGCAGGGTTGTGAAGATTCAGTATTATCTGCAGTGTCTGGCATATTGTAGCTTCCCGTAAAAATACTTTAAAAAAAATTCAATTATCTCCATATCCCCCCAAATATGGGAACATAATCTTGAACTCTCCAGTCATCAATGATATTTTTCCTATCTCCTTTGTTCTCTGTTCTGACTTACTCACAAGCCTGTTTCCCAGCTGCTGGTGTTGAATTCCCAGCATTTAACACTGGTCCCTAGGTGAAGTTAGTTTGTCCCTGCCTTGAGAGAGGTCATTTTAGATGGGGAATAGTAGCTACCAGGTAGAGTGCTTCTTAGCCATCAATTGCCCATTTTTTCTGCATTGTGATTTAGTTTTTGTCGCAACCATGTGAGGTAGATATTTCTAGTCCAGGTAGCAGCTGAGAACACTCCAAAAGGATTCAGTAAATTGCTCAAATTCATGCTAATGAGAGGTTGGGAAATTTTCTCACTTATCTTTCTGCCTTTAGAGGCTGGATTCCCCACTGTGATACTTTTAATTATTTCATGCCGCAGTCTCGGCTGGGCACTGAGCCACCACACACCTTGTAGATTCAAACAGCAATTCTTTATTCCCGAACTCACACCGGCCCTCTACAAACACGTTCTGGGGAAATCCCAGTTCTGCCACACAATTCACGTCCCAAATACTTTCTGAACTCAGGCAGCAGGAACGCCCTATACTCAGCAGCAATAACCTTAAACCTGGAACTTCCCTAAACCCAGATTGTCTTAAACCGGAAAGCCTTAAACCCAAATTATCTTAAACCGGGATACTTCCTAAAACCTGCAGGATACACCTTAAACCTGGATCCACCCTGGTCCTTGAGCAGGGTCACCTTTCTCAAAGACACATGCAATGTCACAGCAAATTTCCATTTAACATGGGGTACGCTGGCAAGGAAATTTCAATGCGTCATTCCTACTTGGCAATGGCCCTCAGCAATTTCAGATAATTAAAAGCCAAGCTAAAATGAAAAAAGAACAAGCCTAGGGAGCTTTTGTCCAGTGTTTAAGCTTTGCCCTCAGTCCAAAGTCAGAAAGAAATGTGAACAAGCATTGAACCCTGATTAGAAAGTTTGTTTTCCACAGGGACATGACAGTTCTATTTTCTGGGTATTCTAGGATTGAGCAAATGAGTAACTTTATGAGGATAAAGGGAGCTTGGATTTTCAGTGTTAAGAGTGTTACAATATGGAGGGGGATAACTGGAGCACCTGAGGTGGTTCATTGGAATTGAAAGTTTCAGTATTAAATCATTGTTTTTGAGTGTGTGAGGGTGGGAGGGGTTATTTTCCAGCTCTGTCTGCTGAGAAGACTCAGATAATCCACCTTAATAGGGTGAGCACTCAGTTCCCAGGTCTTGGTTTTTAAAGAAATTCTTACCTGAAAAGAATCAGAGCTTCTTGAAGAAATGACTGATTCTGGGTTGAGACTAGGAAGGTATAGATTAGTGAGCCTGGAGCATCTGATTGTACAAGGAAGTAAGAAGTGGTCCCTAAGTGATGAGACATGCCAAAAATACACAGGAATGAGTTTAAAAGGACTCCTGGCCAAATCTTAAATTTTTATATATAATTTTTTTGAGACATTGGGGATTGAACTCAGCGCCTGCATATGTTTGGCAAAAGCTCTACCACTGAATTGCATCCCATCCCTTTTTATTTTTGTTTTGTAATAAGGTCTAACTAAGTTGCCAAGACTGGCCTTGAGCTAGCAATCCTCCTGCCTCAGCCTCCCAGTAACTGGGATTACAGATATATGCCACCATGCTGACTTTCCTTGAGCAGGGAAAGACTCCATCATATAAAATAGGAATTTGTGAGTCCATGTGGATAAACTAAGTACAAATTAAACTTGGAGAAAGGAAGAAGTAATGCTGGCATTCAGACTCATGCCAGGGCAACTCCAAGCTCATGCTCTTAACCATCCATATGTCTATTTTACTTGTGATTCTGAGGAGCATAAGTTGGAAGACACCCAGATCTCAGGGTCTGAGGATTCCTGACTCAAGCCTTTAATGAGCAGCCAGCTGGAGGAAAGGGCTCATCTTGCTAAATTGCTGAGGCTGGCTTTGAACTTGTAATCCTCCTGCCTCAGCCTCCTGAGCCTCTGGGATTATAGGCTTGCTCTCAATACTTTTTTTTTTAACATAATACATTCATTTATTTATTTTTATGTGGTGCTGAAGATGAAGATTGAACCCAGTGCTTCACACATGTGAGGCAAGCACTCTGCCACTAAGCCACAATCCCAGCCCTTGCTCTCATTCTTTTAATGAAAGGCAGATGTAACTTGCATGGTTATCTATTAGCTATAAGGGGCAAGAGTGGTTTGGTGGTTATATTCAGAGATGCAAAGTGGGAGATTGTGAAAAGCTAGGGAGATATAGGAAAAAAGATCAGGGAGTGGATGCTTTTTTCACAGAGGTGGTGGTTGGTCTATTTGGGGCTAGTGTCTCCTAGAGAAAGCAATAACATTGATTATTTTTAGCAATGTAGAGTTCCCTTTAGGAAACTCTACATTGGAAGTGTTGGGGTGTACATTTGAGCAGAAACCAAAAAGTATAACAAGATTATGGGCTAAGCAGATAGTTCAGAAAGAAAAGCAAAAATGTTCTATGTCACCAAGCGTGGTGTCACATACCTGTAATTCCAGTGGCTAGGAAAGCTGACAGGAAGAGCTCGAGTTCAAAGCCAGCCTCAGCAAAAGTGAAGTGCTAAGCAACTCAGTGAGACCCTGTCTCTAAATAAAATATAAAATAAGGCTGGGGGTGTGGCTCAGTGGTTGAGTGCCCCTGAGTTCAGTCCCCAATACCACCTACCCAAAATGTCCTGTGTCCAAATTGTTGTAGGACAGGCAACCCTTGGATATCAGTGGAATGGCAGTTTAGTATATGACGTGAAATCATCTCCAACCTTGAAGACTTTGGTTGAGGCAGTGTTGTTTGGGGTGATGTCATCTCCAGTGGTAAGATTTTAGGTCAGTGTGATGTCATCTAGGAATTGGGGTGTCCCTTTCAAGCAGGTACCGTACCACTTCAGTTGATGTGGGCCCTAGCATTTATCATAATTGGTTGAAACTATGGTCTCCTGGAGAGTGTGGGCACTGGATATAGATCATTGAAAGCATCCAACCTAGTAATTAGACCAGCAGTCAACAGAATTGTGTGGGTTTGTTTTTTGGTACAAGTTTTTCTTCAAATGGGTCCCCTAACATGAGCAGCTGCCTGATATGTGGCACAATGAGACCCATGAGTAAGTATGCCCTTAATCTGGCCTGTAATTTCAGGTCAAATGGGATTGAGATGGATAATTTAATAATTAGGTTAAGTCTGGGCACAGGCGAGCGTGCTACCGCTTGAGCCACATCCCCAGCCCCCTTATCCTTTATTTTGAAACAGAGTCTGTTGCTGAGCTGGTGTCAAATTTAGTAATCCTTCTGCCTCAGTCTCCAGAGTCAATGAGACTGCAGGCATGTGCTACCACCTAGTTATCTATGATTTTATTTTATCTTTGGTATCTGTGAGGCATGATTCCAAGAGGGTTTTTTTAAAATATTTTTTTAGTTGTAGTTGGACACAATATCTTTATTTTTAATTTTTAAAAAAATGTTTAATTTTTAGTTATAGGTGGACACAATATCTTTATTTTATGTGGTGCTGGGGATCGAACCAGAGCTTCTCACGTGCTAGGCAAGTGCTCTACCTCTGAGCCACAACTCCAGCCCCAGGGGGGTTTTTTTTTTTTTTTTTTTGGTTTAAATCTTGAAGGGGACAATTTTGAGGTACTGTCCCAATACTTTTTATCATAAATATGCCAATGGGAGCATCTAGTGCAATGACAGCTGTCCAAAGTTAGGCTAAGTATGTTTTTTTCTTTATTAGGGACATCCTGACTAAAGGATGAAGTCCATTAAGCTCCAATATGTACGATGATTGGCAGTACTGTTAACAGAGTCCATGAACTCCCATTGCTGTTCTCTCACTTAATATCAAGATGTTTTCCACATTGTCAGAAGGTGTGAGGCAGAGCTGATCTCCATCCCCCTAGCAAGGGACTGAACATGGGAAAGCATCCACTTCTGCAGGGAGAATAATGTCCAGGTTTGCTTCTATCTTGTAAAGAGGCCTTGTTGAGCCTCTGGAGTGCCGTTTCAATGACCTAAAACAAAACAGCTGGACATGCTCACAGGCTTAGGATCTATGGGAGCCTTTCCAAGAGAGCCAGTTGGTGCCAGTCATATGTTTTAATAGGTACAGCATTAGGCCAAGAAAATAGTATCTTGCATTAGAAGCCCTGGGACAGTTAATGGCCATCACTCTGTAAGAGGCATTACACAAAGCAACCAATGAGTCTATCATAAAGAAACTGTTATTTGGGGTGGGGGTACTGGGAATTTAACCCTGGGGCACTTTTACCACTGAGCTACTTCCCCAACCCTTTTTGAGAGTCTCACTAAATTGCCTAAGCCCTTGTATTTGTGATCCTCCTGTCTGTCTCTTGAGTTGCTGGTATTATAAGCATGCACTTTTTTTTTTATTTTTAAGTTTTTGATGGATCTTTATTTGTATGTGGTGCTGAGACTCGAACCCAGTGCCTCATGCATGCTAGGCAAGTGCTCTACCACTGAGCCACAACTCCAGCCCCATGCATGCACTTTTGAGGACACTCATAGGAATGCCTGTCAATTTTAATTTAGAAAATTCATAAATGAGGAATGTTGTTACCAAAACTCAAAAGTACTAAGAAGCAATGAACTGCAATATCCTTAATTCATGTATCAAATTAATCTCCTTCAAGAAGGATATCCTCATTGTAATATTGTACCTGAGCTCCTTGAGGAGTTAGATGTCATCAAGATCTGGTCTAGTTTGCATGTGATGGCAAAGCTGTAGAGGTCTCCTGTGGGTAAACCAGACAGTTGTATTGTGCCCCTTCAGAGGTGGATGCAAACTGCAATTGAGAGACTGTTGAAATAGCACTAACAGAACAGGTTAGCCAGTTCTGTGAGGGCATAGTGTTCACCAGTTGTTGACTGAATAGAATCAGTCCTTTTAGTGTTATGTATCAGATGCGGGGCTTTAGTGGGTTGCAGTTGAGGAAAAGTAGTGGGAATATAAAGAGTTGATTAATAGGTTTTAATCCTTGAATGTCCCATTTCAACTTGCATTGGGCTATGCTGTCTGTCTTGTCTCTTATCTGGGGACTTAGATACTTAAGTTATTAAGCCAATTTTAAGTGCCCAAATTTTTTTCTAAGAGCATCTATGTCCAGTATAGAATATTTTATTTTATTTATTTTTAAATAAACTGGTTTTCTTTTCTTTTTTTTTTTTTTAAGGAGAGAGTTTTTTTTTAATTTTTTTTTTTAGTTCTCGGCAGACACAACATCTTTGTTGGTATGTGGTGCTGAGGATCCAACCCAGGCCGCGCGCATGCCAGGCGAGTGTGCTACCGCTTGAGCCACAACCCCCAGTATAGAATATTTTATAGCAATGGATATGTGACTGGGGAATTAAGCAAAGCTATAGTATATATAGTGTTGTATTATATAGTTGTGTGTGTGTGTGTGTGTGTGTGTGTATATATATATATATATATATATTACTCACAATACCATATATATATATAAAATAGTGAGGTATATTCATTTGAAAAAAAATATATTTACTTTCTCAGGATTAGGGGCAGAGTGTTCGAATTAGTGGATTCCGCACCCCCCCCCGACTCCTCGATTTGGTGGTCTCCAAAAGTGGCAGTTTCTCTTTTTTAAAAGCTTTTACTCCCTGAAGCCAAAGTTTTTTTTTTGTCTGGTTGGTTGGTTGGTAGGAGGGAGAGGGAAGAGGCCCAGTGCCTCCAAATGGTAGTCTCTCTCTGGGGCTCCCCCCACCCCTCAAGATAATTAATCTTTTTTTTTTTTTTTTTTTCATTTAAACAGTCTTTAGAATGGCTGATCTTTCTAGATGGCTAGAAACATTTTGTGCTCTTTTCTCTTTGGATGTATACCTGAAAAGTTCCTGGTAATTCTGAGTAGTGTTGTTATTTTTAATGTTGACTTTTTAAAGCCCTTCAACAACTAAAATACTTTATTTTATTCATTTATTCATATGCAGTGCTGAGAATCAAACCCAGTGCCTCACATTTGTTAAGCAAGCACTTTAGCAGAGCTACCACCCAGTCCCCTGAGTAGTTTTATTTATTTTTTTAGTTTTCAGCAGACACAACATCTTTGTATGTGGTGCTGAGGATCGAACCCGGGCCGCACGCATGCCAGGCAAGCGCGCTACCACTTGAGCCACATCCCCAGCCGGAGTAGTTTTATTTTTACCTTATGAATTGTTACTGGAAAAGTTGGGGAATAACCTTGGTGTATAGCAGGCAGCCACTTCCCTTACAGGGTGTCCCTGTTGATTTCTGTGGGCCCAGGATCAGTTTTTGCCAGCACAATCATTTTATTAAGATTTGGTTCCATGCTCAGGATGGTCTAGGTGCCCAGAGATTTGATCCATGTTGCCCCCTCGGGTTAGGGGACAAGTTGCAGTAGCAGAAAGGAATGTAGCAGCAGAAGAGCTACCAGCTCTCTGAGCTGTGTGTGGCCTGCAGGTGTCATGTAAGAAAGAAAATCTTTAGGTCCTATGGATGCTCATATGCAGAAATGCAAAAATGGTTGGATAAGGTGATTCTTCTCCTGGGAGTAAGAATACACTCTTGTCTTCCACACCAACAGAAGCTCTTGGCTAGTGGTTTTATATACAGTGCTCGTCCCTTATGATGGAAAACACAAGGACATGGCAAGAGAAATTAAAATGTCTTTATTCATTTACATACCTAGTACCATGAAAAGAAAATCGGTTGAAATCCATCTGGTTACAAAGTGCACATTATTTATGCCACATTCATGGAGGGCAGAAATGCTCGTCACCCTATGTACCCAAAGTCACCTGGGCTCCTGAGAAAAGAGCCCTTTACTCAAGCACCTAGAGTGTCTTCAGGATGATGTGCTAACTCTTTATAGGAACAGAGAGGGCTGATCTGAACTGCACACTTAAAACACAAATGAGTTACGTTACTTAACAGTGGTGTTAGACATCCCAAGAGTTGACCAGAGTAATTGTGAACTACATGGCTAGAAAATTCTTCGCAGAAATGAGCTGTAGAACTACCTACATCACGCCCATTTTTTTCTGAGGAATGAGAGACGGGGGTGGGGGGGGTGATGGAAACCCACAGACTGAAATGAACCTTCCTTCTCCCATTCTTCCTTACCTTCATCTGCCACTTGACATTCTGGAGTGTAAGGCACTAGAACTGGCCTCAGAAAGAGGAGCTCTAAACTCCAGTTCTTGGTGTGCAAAGGAAATCCTGGCATAGATCTGAAACAGATGCTAAATATTCTCTTCTCTTGTAGTTTCTGTCCTTCATGGACAGGAAAACAAGGAGGCAGAAGATGTTTGCAAAGGATTAAAAACAGGTGCATCTAAATGTGAGGAAAAATAGCCTGTGAAGAAATGCATAATTCTTAAAGAGATGCAGACACTATGCTCATGAAAATCAAGAATCTTATACAGGGAACAACTCTGATGTCTAATGGACAATGAGAAGGCAAATACAAAAATCGATCTTATGAAAAACAGTGCATTGGTAGTTATAAGGGACTGTAATAGCAAGTCCCACTCTGACATGAATCGGGGGGCCTTACAACTTAGCACCTTGAAGTAGAGGCCAAAAAAAGAGGTGGTGGGCGGAATGTGGTGCTGCCCATCAGACTCAGAACTCACTCACCACTTCCTGCATGTACACATGGTGTGGTTAGAAGTCCAAGAGCAAACTACTTCATCTACCATTTCCATCTATTCACCTGCTTCTCCTTAATTCATATGCCTGCTGATAAAGGTAAAGATGTTCATTTTGAACTTAATAAAATGCTACTCAGTATTTGTGAGAGGCATGTTGGGATTGGAATGCAGAAGGAAACCTAAAGTGGCAAAAGATTATTCTTCAGTATTAGCCACTGGTGACCAGAGCTTTTAGATATCAAAAAGGACCCCTGTTAACTATCCTAGCCTAGAAGTAGTAGATATGGAAATAAACCTTGTAACTCACTTCTGAAAGCAGTCTGATGCAATTGTTCTACTAGGATAGTCCCCCAGGCCTGGTACTAACACTGTAAAAGATTCCCTTCTGTCTCGGATTCTCTTAAGGATGATGAGGGTATATTCAAATGTCAGCAAATTTGTTTATATGCCAGAGGATAAACAGAACCAGAAATCAGGGCCATCTCAGGAAGCAAAGCACACTTTCAGGAAGCTCCTACCATTCATTCCTGTATTGCCACTGTCAACCATGAGGAAAGAGGCTAACATTTCAAATGCATGCACAGCATGGAGTATACTGTGAGAGCTCAAGCTTTATTTTTCATGTTTTACTTTCTTGGTAGCAAAAGGCTTAAAAGCAAGCAAGTAGGTAAAATTTCTTAGAGAGAACCAGGAATGGCACCCCTCCAGGTGAGAGCCAAGCTGAAGTGGCTGGGCTCCACTGCTGCAGAAATGAAGCTGAGGTTTAACCAATGAGCTAATTGATCCCTGTGTTCATGGCCTGATGTGAATCTTCCACATTAGGTGGGGTGGAGAGACCCCTGGAAGAATACTAGAAATATAGTGGTAACTGTTCTGCTCACGAGAAGTTGCTATGTGACTGCCACACAAGATTAAATGATATCAAGTAGACAAAGCAGTTAGCTCTTATCCCTTTTTGCTCTTAAAACTTTCTGAAATAGTGTTCTGACTTCAGTGCCCATGTCATGGCAGAGAAATCTTTCCAATGCAGCTTCAAGTGACTGCGGCAGTGCTAAGAAACAGGATTTCCTATGGCCCAAGGAGCCAGGGGAAGGGGGTGGGGTTGTAGCTCAGTGGTAGAACTCTTGCCTAGCATGTGTGAGGCACTGGGTTCGATCCTCAGCACCATGTTAAAAAATATATATATTGTTGTGGATGGATACAATACTAACAGGAAGCCAGAGGAAGTACTTAAAGATATTTCAAGGACAAGGATTCAAAAACTTTGCAACACAGGGTGATCTCTTTTGAGGGCAACATACTTTTCGTTCCTGGATTCAACAATAATTTGCTGACGAGATAAAAACCCCACCACCACAGAAAGAAAAAAAGTATGCAACCACCTAAAGCTAAAGTCTACAATTCCTCAAACTAACTGGCTTCCTAGGGTGAGGTGTCACTCCAGGCAAATCTATATAGCACCACCATCCAAGGAGAAAGTGATATACTAAATGATGTTTTGGTTGTTGGGCCTTTTTCCTACAGCTATACCTCAAGATCTAATGCTTCTACTGACTATTTAAGAGCCCAGAATGCTTGTAACATCTATTATGCTTATGACACAGAGGCAAAGTAGTTATGCTAGGGAACAGTCTGTTCAGAGCACTCACAGTAGGACCAAATTTTTTAAAAATTTAGATTTATAATACCTATGTTTGAACCGAGAGGATAAAGTGACAAAGAAAATTTTCCATGTAGGGCACTGAAGGCTCAAAAGATCAGCACCTCACCAGAGTCCTAGGAGTATGGCTGCTACTTATGGAGGAGGTTTTTCAAAGCACTTGTCCTGTTCCATCATCCCCTCCCAGCAAGATTAGTACTGCCTGTTGGCTCAAAAGGGGAGGATTGTGATATCAGCAATAAGAGGTAAGGATTTCCCTAGTTAAATCATGCAGTGACCGTTTTGGATACATCATCACATATTCCCTCCTACTTAAGGAGGAAGCAAATTAATTTAACAATAATTAGCTAGAAATCAAGTCCTAAAGTCTACAGTGAATACACTTCTGATAATCTATTTGAATGGCATTCCCCAAATTATCTTCACATACTGTCTGTATAAACCAAGAATTTCTTTTTGATTTAATTCCAAGTAAATTTTCATTTACAAAGAGGAGTTTGGAGGGTGGAAAGTATGTCAGCCAGCTCCTTTCCTAAAGGTCTCTTTCTGCTCTCCTGTTTTCCAGCACAGAAACACTTCTTGCTCCTCTTCCTAGAAGCAGCATGTCTTGGCTAAATACACATTTGCTTTAATCATATGCGCTTAGAGTAAATCAATTAAGACCCCTTCCACCCAAAAAAGATGGGACAATGAAGTCTGTCATCAAGTAGGAATTGTCAAACTGGTCTGAGTGGGTAACAGATCCCACAGAAATAGCAGAGCAAGTGGACACCTGAGAATTTTATTTTGCTCTAAAGAAATGAAAGGATCTCCTTTAATATAGAATTAACAAAATGCATGCTTCCAAGATGTCAAGACAGCGAGGCTACAGCTGAATTAAAATTTCTAATAGCAGTTTGTTCACATGAAAGGGGAAGTGACGTTTTGGGGCTATATTATATAGTGTGACATCTTTAGTCTGACATCTAAGTTCCACCTTTAGAAAATAGAGACACTGATTGAAAATGTGCAGGGTACTTTTAGCCATCTGCATTCCAAAAGCCAGAGATGGACAGCTGTGTAGAAGGAAATGTTGGAAAACAGTGCTCCAGCTAACCTACACCCACTGTACTTAGAACTCTCCATGGATCCACATGGTCAGCTCTGTTCCCCACCAGGGAGACATAGAGCTTGGGTTCTAATAGCGCTCTGGCACTCAGGTGAATAACCAAACTTTGTTATTCATGCTAAGACAACCCACCTAAACTTTCCCTCCCTGCTCTAAAGGGAGAGCAGTGTATGCTGAGTTTGTGACCAGAGGTGAGGCTGAGCTAGGAGTCACTTTAATAAAAAGAAAGGCAATATTTTAGAGGATTGTATACCTCCTGAAGTCAGACTCTTTCAGTTGGGAAAAGCAACACAAAAGGCAACAAGGTTTTTCTCTAACACTGGCATATTTGTTTGCTAAGAAAGAAAAAACAATAGGCTGCCGTGGCCCAAAGATCTGAGAATTCATTCTGGAGGGAAGATGAGGATGGTGCAAGGTTAACTGTTCGTCTGTGCTACAGCCAAGACGATGTCCATGCAATACTTCTCACCAGTGAGGTAGATGATCATCTTTCTGCTAGAGGTATCGGGTACTAACCCATAGCGCAGTGGAACAGAATGATCTGCCTAAAAGGCATAAGCTATTCCAGGAGCCACATGAAATACACAGGTGCCCCACCGAAATAAACAAGTTACTCCAAGAAATCTTAGCCCAAGGGAGATGGACTCTTGTCCTAAGGCCTCTAAAACACCAGCTTGCCTTGTTTTAAGACACACAATTTTTCACCTTACAATTCCACAAGTGGAGCCTGCCTCTGTCCGATAAACTTCCTGCCACCATGGGAATCTTAACAGGAGGGAAGACTGCAACCAGGACGAAAAGAGGGGTTCCAAAGCAAAAGTTTAAAAGTAGGTCAAGTTTAAAATTATATCAAGGAGGTAAGAGATGGGAAGCAAAGGTTTAGTAAGCAGGGACAGGGTGAGAGGAAAGAAAGAAGCTTCTGAGGTGATGTTCCTTACGATGAGATGACAGGAGGTGAGATTGCTCTGCCATTACTTCCCATGTAAGTCACTCAGCTCCACATCATCCTTTCGGCGCTTGTGAGCAAAGAGGGAGGTGACAGGGTAGAGTTTAGCCTTGGCCTGAAACCGGTGGCCTGCAATGTCAATTTCATATTCTCCCCGGTTAATGAAATCAGTGGTTACCACCTCCTCTTCACCGCTGTCTTCTGAAAAATTGTGCACAAAGCCCAGGCACACATGGCGCTCCAAAGTATAGCTATAGGCACTGCTGGTGGTTTTGCCAACATACTGCCCATTCCGGAAAATGGGCTCTCCCCACCAAGGCCAGAGGTCCAGGTCTGTGTCATGGTCGTCCAGAATGAACATGGTGAAGCGTTTATACACCCCATCTTGTTTCTGCTGCAGCAGAGCTTCCCGACCAATGAAATCCATGCCCTGGAAAAGAAAAAAGCTGAGACTCCTGTCTATTATCTGACCCTTGGAATATAGCACCCTCACCCCTGTTGGGTTTTGGGAAATGGCATGATTACAACTATATGAAAAGCTGCATTCATAATACAGAAGTTAGAGAATTTTTGTAACAACAGCGTACATTTTTCTTTTTTATAAGCAGTTGAAATTGCAAAACCACACAGAACAAAAATACATGCTGGAGTTGTGGCTCAGTGATAGAATGCTTGGCCTAGCACATGTGAGGCACTGGGTTCGATCCTCAGCACCATGTAAAAATAAATACTTGCTAGAGTTGTTTTAGAAAACAAAGTCCATGCATGTCTATATCAATGCATACCTTTATAATATTTTTTCATCACAGAAACATTAATTGCTCAAAAAGAATATAATAGATCATGCACTATTAGGGAACACGTGCCAAGATATTTGTTGAAAAAAAGATGCATACAATATGCCACCACCTAGGTTAAAGTTGGGAGAGGAAATTACACCCTGGCATTTTTTACACTGTCGCTCTCTTAAGAGTAAACAAGAAACTGCTTCTTTTGGCAAAGGGGACCAGAGGGCAGGGGATGTGGCTCAAGCGGTAGCACGCTCGCCTGGCATGCGTGCGACCCGGGTTCGATCCTCAGCACCACATACCAACAAAGATGTTGTGTCTGCCGAGAACTAGAAATAAATATTAAAAATTCTCACACTCTCTCCTCTCTCACTCTCTCTTTAAAAAAAAAGGGGACCAGAGATTGAGTGGGCTTAAGAGATAAAAGACTAATTTTTCAAAGAACCTAAAGACTAGGTAATGTACTATAAGATGACTAATCACCATAATCAACTCAGAAAAACTTCCCCCAGAGCGCCTAGTCCTTTAGTGCATTCAGGGGCATGTTATCTGAGTATTGTTCTGAAAGATGTTTATTCTATAGGCAAGTCTTCTGCCCTGAGGATACATCCTGATTGAAGAAGTGTAAAAATACAGGTCAGCCACATCAGCTCTTCAGTGCTCAAGAAGCTGAGTGGTGGGGCTGGGGTTGTGGCTCAGTGGTACAGCACTTGCCAAGCATGTGTGAGGCATTGGGTTTGATTCTCAGCACCACATGTAAGTTAGTAAAACAAAGGTCTATTGACAATTTACAGGACACTCTGGATTAATACCCTACCTTCTCTAATTTTACCCAGGATTCCCGTCCACATTCCAGGGGCGTGGTGAGGGTATTCAAATCCTGACCCCAGAAGGCAAAGAACTTCTCAATTCGGAGACTGCGAAGAGCATAATACCCAGCATTCCGGATTCCATATTTCTGTCCAACATTCATCACTTCATTGTATACGTGAAGAGCATACTATACAAAGAAAGGAAAGGTTAGTAACCAGCACATCTTCAGAATTAAACATGGAATACATCTGGAAGTGGTGATATCTAACACTAATGTGGACTCTGGAGAGCAGATTGAGCCCTTTGATCTTGGAAAATATTTCTTTGCCAAGGATGTTTATAGTGGGCTTCCTGGGCACAGCAGAAAGTTCCTAGCACTGCTATACTAGGATAGCTGCAAAAAAATGTTTCTAGCTCTGTAACTTTCTAGTGCACAAAGCAACCTCTGACAACTCGCAAGCCTTAAACAATTTATAATGCCCCTATAGTTTAATGATGAGACTATACGATAAATTTATAGAGCTAGTTCTGGGTCACTGTTCCTCCATCAGAGTGCAATGTCCCACCTTTATGTGATAATGTGTCTTTTTTTCCTCCAGTCACCCCTACGTGAGAATCCTTTGTTGATGCTGCACAGGTTGCAGCAGTGGACAAGAGAGGGATCATAGAAAACTCCTAGGACATCTTGCCCTCAACAAAGCATGGCACTAGAGTCCAGCAGTAATGAGCTGGGGCCACTCCACTCTACAATGTAGTTTCCACAAAGGCAGGACCCTGATCTTTCACTTCTCAAAAATGCAAGGTGATTTCAATATATAACAGTTATTAAAGCACTCTTACCATTTGGTAAATAACAAGTTTTATAATTGTTTCTAAAATAGTCCAGTTACCCTCTGTAGTCTTTCTACCTTTTTCTCTTTTGCCATTCCCTCATGCATGGTCCAAAGCTGTGAAAAAAACAGGCTTTTACCCATAATTCTAGATGTGCACGCACACATCTAATTATTCATAGATTATGGCATATTTTAGGAGGAAGCAAAACTTGTACTATTTGGAGGTAAGACTTAACCCTGGAAATCCCAGTCTCAAAAACTAAAACAAGATAATTTAGTAGGGCTATTTAATACAGAAAGAATGCCTGGAAACTGATTAAAAAGAGCAATAATCCAATAGAAATATGGACAGGACATAAGCAGAAGAATTCAGTGAGTACTTACTATGGGGCAAGTACTCCCTTAGGTGACAGGAATAGAAAAGTTAGCAGGACAATCTGATGAACGAAATCAAATATATTTTATTAGACAGTGAAAAATGCTATGGAGAAAAAAGGGAAGGACAGGGAGAACAGCAACTTGCAGTAAGGTCTCAGTGAGAGGTGACATGTGAGTAAGACCTGAAGGAGGGGAGGCTGTGAACTTGAGGTTTTCTATCCAGGGCAAGGTATGCCAAAGGAGGGAGAAGTTAAGTGTAAAATCTGGGAGGTTCCAAGACTAGCAAGAGGAAAAGAAGCAGACAAGACAGTCCAAGACCATGCAATAGAATGGAGGACACATTGGGCCCCACAGACTGGCTTTTACTTGGATGGAGATGGAATTTGAAAAGCTAAGGGGAAATTAGAAATATACTGATGAGAATTATTTTGCCCCTAACAAACTGGCAAAAGCCTCAGGTCTGACAACAAGGAAAAAAAGACACTCTTACATACCACAGAATTTTAATAGCTAAAGACTGGAAATACTACAACTGTTTATTAGTGCTAGTCTAGTTAATTATGATTTAGCCTTAAGACTCAATATATTGTGTCACTGCTTAAACAAAAACTTTCTCTTTAAGCTCTAATATAGAAAAATCTAGAAGATAAATTATTAAGTAGAAAAAAGCAAAATGAACATTATGCTTTCATTTGTGTTTTTAAAAGGGGACTAAGAGCTTCCTGGGGCAGTGCATGCCTGTAATCCCAGCTATTGGGGAGGTTTGAGGCCAGTCTCAACATCTTAGCAAGACCCTGTCTTAAAGAGGGAAAAAAAAAAGTGCTAGAGTGGTTGATATCCCAGCACCACCAAAAACAAATTAACAAAAAATGGGGGAAAGAGGGCTAAGAACTCCATCTTTAAAGTTGCTTGCATGTACATACTAATACATTGGTTGTGGTTGGTAAGAACTTGTCAGACAGCACCAGTTTTATATATTTCACACACATTTGAATTTTTAAACCGTGTAAGTGTATTACCTATTAATTTAACTAACTTGGAAATTATAAAATCTCTTCCATGCAGCTGACCTCATGGAATTTCAAACTCCCAATCAGATACAGCTTTTCAAACCTGCTAATGCTTAGGAACTTTGGGGAAAGCCAGCACTCCTCACAGTGGTCCCTAGAAAAGAAGGCTGAGCTCTTACCTCTATGGGGATATAAAGCATGAATCCTGGCTCTCCTGTGTGAGTCATGCTCATCACCCGGATCCCATTGGCGTAGCCCACACTCATCTCCTGCAGAGGAAAAGGCAGCAGTTGGCATAAGTGGACACCATGCAGGCTTGACAAGGGAGTGAATGGCTCAAGGGAATACTTTCATTAGCACTGTGCCCTCTGGTTTAACTAAGCAGACACAATCAAGGAAAGCATTTCATCCTGAAAATAAAGCACAGCCTTTACAACATGTCTTCTTATGAATATCACAATTTCTGGAGTTTTAGCATTTAGGGAAGTGACAGCAGTCTTTGATAAGCATGAAATATTTCTCTTTACCAACTCCTGCTAGAGATTTGGGTTTACCAGGCATGATGGCACATGACTATAGTCCCAGTGGCTTGGGAGGCTGAGGCAGAAGGATTGTGAGTTCAAAGCCAGCCTCAGCAATTCATTGAGATCCTAAGCAACTCAGCAAGACCCTGTCTCTAAATAAAAATGAAAGGGCTGGGGATGTAGCTCAGTGGTTAAGGCCCCTGGGTTTAATCCCTGGTACAGAAAAAGACTTGGGGTACTCGGGAGGATCTGAAGGCTAGACAAGTGTCTTTTCTTGGGGACTTGGAGCATGCCTGTAATCCCCACAGCTCAGAAACTGAGGCAAGAGAATCTTAAGTTCAAAGCCTCAGCAAAAGCAAGATGCTACGCAACTCAATGAGATCCTGTCTCTAAATAAAATAAAAAATAAGGCTGGAGATGTGGCTCAGTGCCCCTGAGTTCAATCCCCAAATACCTACTCATCCACCCACACCCCTGCAAAAAAAAAAAAAAAAAAGCTTGAGCCCTGCAGAACACATTGCATCTGCTACCCTGGGACCAGAGGTTACCTAGGAGGAGTCACCGATTCAATCACTACCCAATAAAGGAATGTGTAACATCTCAGCATTGATGCAAACACTTCCATAGGAAGCCTGCCATGATTCAGCACTTACCAGGCACATGGATTATTCCTTCTAGCAGCAGAGAGGGCATTATATAAGGATTTGCTGATGGCTAACACAGTTTTCTATTGTTTTTACTACCTTGCAAAGGAAGGAAAACTACAATAATAGGAAAGTGGGTGACACACAAAATGTAGCCAACATGGTGATGCACACCTATAATCCCAGCAATTTGGGAGGCTGAGGCAGGAAGTTTGCAAGTTCAAGGCCTACCTATGTTGCAAAATTTAAAGAAAGAGGACTGGGAATAGTTCATTGGTAAAGTGCCCTGGGTGTAATCCCCAGTACCACAAAATAAATAAAGACATGGTCATTTTCTTTGCTTAGTAAAGGACAGAACACTTTGTGTTAATATTATAATAAGAATGTTATCTGTCACCACTATGAAATATTCTCTGCTCATGTGAAAACAAAACTATTTGCACATACCTTGCAAAAGAGAGTTGGGAAGTGGTCTGGAGTCATGGGGGCATAGGACAACTCGGACAGCACATCTACAGCTCGAGGACCAATTAGATTGAGGGCTGTACAGAAAAAAGAGAGAGATGTCCAGCCTCTCCAGGTGAACAGCTGAGCCAATGCAAAAAGCTTGTTCTGAAATTGCCAACTGTGGCCTAGCCTGGCTGGTAAAATCACAAAAGTGTTCCTTTGCCTAGGCAATCCAGGAATGGATGTCAAGCACTCCCATTCTGGAAATGTGACGGTGCTAGCATGAGAGCCTGATCAGTAGGTTTTTTCTCCCTGTTTTACAGGAAGACAACATTCTAGTCTCTACATTGAGATCAGGTCATGAGACCAAGTCCAGCCAAAGAGACACTTCCCCCCTCTGCACAATTCTCATTCTCTTTGTCTTCCCAGTGTAGCTACAAGATGGAAAAAGCCCCAGTTCCAAAAAAGTACCTGGAAGGGAGCTGCCCACCCATCCTGGGCTTAGCTTATGCTAATTACACATCAGTTAACCTAGTACATGCTAGAACACAACTTCTTTCTAAGAGTCTGGAGTTTGCCGACCTCATAGCAAGAAGTTAATCACATTTTCTACTAATGACAAATTGAGAAAGAAGTCCTGGGAGAATAAATACTGGCAGGAAGAGGGGCAGGAGTCACATGGGAGGCAAGGAAGGAGGAATTAAAACCCAAAATGAGATAATAAAAGGAAGAGCTGGTTCCCCAACAGAAGCTGCTAAAGAACAGAGAATCAGGAAATTAAGTCATCCTTAAAAAACTACCCATTTGAAAAAAAAGATGAAAATCTGAAGAACATTATATATTAATATGAAAATTCCTTTAAAAGTTACTCATTTAACAAATATTTAAATGGAAATGAATAAAGTGGGGGAGGTATCAGACTAACTTTCTATGACCACAGAATCTGATTTTTTTTTTTAAGTTGTAGATGGACACAATACCTTTATTTTATTTATTTTTACGAGGTGTTAAGGATTGAACCCAGTGCCTCACACATGCTAGGTAAGTGCTCTACCACTGAGTTCCAGCTCTGACATTCACTTTTAAGAATCCAAAAAAAGAAAAATGTGGAAGATACTTTTGGATCGGTTAGCTTTTTTTCATTTGGCTGACCCGATAAAACCCTATTACCAGTGTATTTCCAGGTGACATCCTCCAGCAGCAGGTTGTTGTCCTTCGGCATATGTTTCTTAAGCCAGGCCCAACAGTGGACCTGTTGATCGGTTGGAGAGATCATGAAGAAACTGAAAATGAGACCCCAAAATGATCAAATTTAGGTAGCAGAGAAAGCATCAGGAAGCATTAAGTTCTCTAGTTTCAAAAGCCCATTGAGTATACTGAGAAATGATGCTTTAACTTTGTTGAAGGGTCTGTAGCATCATTATGGAATAAACAACAAAATAACAAAACAGAAAATTCTAGCTTCTTGTTAAGTGCCAATAAGTTATACAAACTTTCCAACATTAGGCAATAGGCTATCTAACTTCTATAATTATTTTCTGTAATCTGGTGGGTTCCCCCCAGCCTGAATTCTGTTTAGAGCTGACAATGACTTTATGAAATGGTAGTTTACCAACCTGGTAGTAAGAATTTCATCACGTTTGCTACTATTGACAAAAACTGATGAAGATGGTCTGGGAGAGTAAACAATGTCACAGAGAAAGGTTAAAACCTGGACTGGAGTGACAGAAGAGGAGGGACTGCACTACCATTTCATAAACCATTTCACAAACTCATGGTCAACCCTAAACTGAAAAATCAGCAGGGGGGGGGGGCGGAAAACACCAAACTACAGAAAATTTGTGAATTGACCATAAGTTTACGAAATTGGTTTTTATTTTTATTTGGTACTGGGGATTGAACCCAAGGCCACTTAAGCCCTGAGCCACATCCCCATCCCTTTTTATTTTTTAGCTCTTTTTGAGACAGGGTCTTGATAAGTTGCTTAGGGCCTCACTAAGTTGCTGAGGCTGGTTTTGAACTTGTGATCCTCCTCCCTTAGCCTCGTGGGCCGCCAGGATTACAAGACTCTGCCACCGCTCCCAGCAATGAAATGGTTTTTTAGACCCAGGAAAAGTACATCAAGTACTCTTGCTACAGAAACCTTAAGGGATCAGCCTGTTGGAAGAACAGGGTGGAATGGCAAGTAATCTCACCTGCGTTTGCTCAGGCGTGCGATGCTACAGTCATTTTCATATCCTCCGCCCTCGTTGAGCATGCCAGTATGTACAATGTGGCCCACAGGCACATCCAGATCATTGGAGAAGAGGTATTGTAGAATTTCTAGTGCCTGATCCCCAGTGGACTGCAGGGCAGAGAATGAAGGAGGGAAAGTTAAATCGAGAGCAAGAGCACCTGGCTGGCTAGTGGCTGAGTGTGGAAGCACAGGCCTGTAATCCCATTGGCTTGGGAGCCTGAGGCAGGAGGATTGTCAGTTCAAAGCCAGCCTTAGCAAAAGTGAGGAGTTAAGCAACTCAGTGAGACCCCATCTCTATACAAAATAGGACTGGGCATGTGGCTCAGTGATTGTGTGCCCCTGAGAGCACCTGGCTGGTAGCATGGCCAACTAGCACTGCACCTTGCTGAGAAAATTCAATGAGCCAGCACCCGTGTGATAGCATTGCAGATTTACTCTACTGTAAGAGGATCCAGAGAAAGCTTGCTATTAAATGAGCCACTCTAAGCAGATTAAAAACTCTAAATAAAAACAACAAAAAATGGACATGAGGAGCTGAATAGTCATAAAAATGTGAAAATATAGATGTGACATTGCAGTTTACTCGGATTCTTTCAGAATCAGTTTTGAAGTAACAGATGAATTGAACAAGTTTCCCAATCTTATTTTGGTTCATAAATACTTACTGTTATCTCAAACTTTGTGAAAGAGGACATGTCGATGACACACACAGCTTCCTTACAGCACTTGACTTCAGCCTCCACAATGTCAAACCAATCTGGCTTATAGAAAGTCTTGCTCTGCTCCAATGCAAGGAGGTCTGTGGATCAGAAAAAACAAAAGGTGGAGAGAAAAGGAGGGGATTAACACTGGGTACTATTCCTTTATAGTTTGGTGTAGCCTAGCAGGAATTCATTATTTATTCTTACAAGACTACATTGTAGGTTTATACATTTACAAATAAGTTAGATTTGCAGGGGGGTGGAGTAACAGATTGAACCCAGGGGTGCTTAACCAGTGCATCACTTTCCCAGTTCTTTTTGTGTCTTATTTTGAGACAGGGCTTTGCTAAGTTGCTGAGGCTGGCTTTGAACTTGTAATCTTCCTGTCTCAGCCTCCCAAGTCACTGAGATTACAGGCATGCACCACCATGCCTGGCTACAAATAATCTTTTTGTTTTCAATTGGCAACCAGTAAAACTTAACAAAAATTTGACTTCTTGCCTTTGTCAGGTGGAACAAAGTACTTTGGCCTCTCAAATCCATGTTTCTCCATCCATCTGGCTCCTTGTGCATCCAGCCGGTCATACAGAGGAGATGTGCGCAACTGCCTACCCGTCTGGAAGTCCCAACGGGGAACCTTCAGATCGTATATCAGAGCTAAAAGAGACAAGAGTCTATCAAAGTTCAAGTCACAGATTCTGGAGCTGAATATCCAATATCCACTAGACTTGAATCATTTCTATTCATGAGAGAATAATTTGCAGGCTAATGCAGCCTAATTTGTCAGGTATTACCTAGTATTGACAGGCATGATCCAAAAGAAAGGACAACACTGTAAGACCATATAAAGCTATCTACCAGTGACTCATGGTAAGAACCATATGTTGAATTGGACAAACCTAATAGGCACGTCCCTAGCCACATTGCTTGTTGCTTAATTAAACAGAAGAGGGGAGATGCTAAGAAGAGCCACAGCCAAGTAATATGATGCATGGCATTTTTGGTTGAAAGGTGACGCCAGCTAGCCATTGAGATATGATTATGTTAAGATTTACATTCATATGGATATGGGACTCCTGGAGAGTTCCCATTGGTTGGGGAAGTGCGGTAGGAGGAACTTCCTCTTGGGATCGGAGAGAACGATGCGTTGGTCAGTGATCTTCCCAGGGGCGTAAGGGGTATTGGCGGCAGTTTCAAAAATAAAGTTTGTTCCTGCTTAAGTGGCTTGTGATTTTGTGCCCAGCCAGACTGCGGCATTCCACAACAGAGGAGAAGATTATGTCTAAGGACCCAGGTGGATAATAACAATGTGAAAAATGGTACTTGATTCTTTGCTTTGTTGTCGGGATCTGAATACCCATTACAGGTATTTCTTTCTCCATTAAGATTTAATCAAATTTCTAAAGTGAAAGGGTACACAGTATGCCTCCATTTGGTGGCTCTGTAATTTGAGAGGTTGCACTGTACTGTCCCATTATTCACATAATACAGCTAGGGTCAGAATTCATTTTTCTTCATGGCCAATCTGCAACAGCATTAAGTAAAAACAACCAAAAGAGTGTGATCTCTAATCTCTTCCAGAGAGAAGACCTGACTTTACTCCAGATGAAAGGTACACTGGGATGGGGATGGAAGGGATTTTGGGAGATTAAAGAGGACGAAGCCACAGAGTTCCCTGCATGTTGACAATTTGTCAACCTCCAATATCTATCATAGGTTTTACTTTTTCCTTCCCCGTTTTCTGTCATGCTTCCAATTTCTATTATGAGAAAGAAGGACACCAAAAGTGTCTCATCACCAAGGAGAAGCTCAAGCTTTATTATAATTTACACAGGTTCTAAAGTAACTATGGGCAGGAGGGCTAGAAACGTCGTTCAGTGGTAGAGTCTTGCCTAGCATACATGAGGCCCCAGCACCGCAAAAACCAAATAAAATAACAAAGGCAGGAAAAATCTAGACTTGAACAGTTTTGCTAAAATATTTACTAAAATTAACCTTATCAGTTAAATATACTGCTTCTAGATCCTTTATCTCCTAAGAATGTAAGTTGTCTGCCATAGCCAAAAGTGAGCACTCGGGCGTCAAAGGCCATCCAAAAGTCTTACCATGAATATCATCGAGCTACTAAGTGAACAATGCAATCAATTTTGACCAAAAATAGTGGTCACAGTAATCTAGAAACTTTATTCCTTTTTGTCGAGGAGGGGGACACTAGGGATTAAACCCAGGGATGCTTTACCACTGAGCATCCTCAGTTATTTTTGTTGTTTTTTATTTTGAGGCATTGTCTCACTAAGTTGCTGAGGCTGACCTTGAACTTGCAATCCTCTTTCTCAGCCTCCTAAGTCACTGGAATCACAGGTGTGCATCACCACACCTGGCTCAGAAATTTATTCCTAAGCATAAATATGCCCAAAATATTTAGACATGATTTAGTAAAGTCAGAATGATTCTCCTATACTGAGAAACTAAATTATTACTTGTCAGAACCTATATAATTTGGTTAAATTCCTGAAACAAAAGCTATTGTACACACCTGTAATCCCAGCAGAATGAGAGGTTGAGACAGGAGGATCACAGATTCAAAGCCAGTCTTGACAGTTTGGCAAGACTGTAAGCAACCTAGTAAGACCCTGTCTCAAAATTTTAAAAAATACATTTTATAAAAGTGGGTGCTGGGATGTGGCTCAGTGGTTAATTGCCCAGGTTAAACCCCTAGTACTACCCACCCCCCTCCAAAGGAAAAAAAAAAAAGCTGTCTCTACAGGTTTACTGGACAAGGTAGAATAACAAGTCAAAATGAAGAAACCAAGGGCTGAGGTTGTACATCAGAGAACCCTGAAATTCTGAGAGTACCTTGGAAAGAAAACAATGATCTCAAAAACCAAATGGGGATAAGGGTGTAGCTCAGTGGTAGAGCACTGGCTTAGTATGTGCTAAGTTTACCCAGCATGCCCAGAGTTTGATTCCCAGTACTGAAAAAAACAAACCAACCAAATGAGGAGCAAAACATTTGACATAGGATCTCGCAAGGCAGGAAAGAAGGCAAGGAGGCACTTGCTGGCAATATAGAGGAAGCAACTGCATATCGCCTGAAAACCTTTTTCTATTTTCCTGTTCCCAAAATTAAACAATGTACAATTAAACAATGTACAATATACTAAAAATGTTCCATAAATATCACAAGGGGCATTAGGCCTGAAACACACATTAGAAGCCCAGCTCAAGCAGTTAATAAAGGAATGAAGAAAACTCTGCCCCATTCAAATGATAAAACATGTCACCAGACAGATATCTGCAACTAGGTGCAATTAGGATAAAGATTCACTTACGCATGACTTCCATGACCCGGTGACGCAGAAAGGTACGGCTGCTCTGGAGGGCTCCAAAGCGTTTCAAGTCCAAGTCCCAGACGTTTTCTGAGGGATAACCATGTACCATCCATTCAGCAAGATACCTGTGGGGACAAGTATCTTAGGTGGGGGACAAAAAGTTGTTGGGTCTCAGATGTGATACACAAGAGAATTAAAGCAATATTCTACAAATCAAGAACTAGTGGAATCAAAAGATCCTACAATGTCACCAACAGTTGAGCAATTTGGGGCAATTTTCTTAACTTTTTTATAATAAAAAAACATGGACCCAAAGTATCTCAGAAAAACACTATGTAAGAGTCCCTAGAAAGTATTTGACATAAGCCACATCAATGAAGAAATAAGATAACCTCCTGTTGCTATTTCAGTGAGCTCAAGCGTTGTGAGCATCCATTTAAACCACCATTGAGTGCTGTTCATCTCCCCATAAGCAGCTCATCTTCCACAGTAACATGATCTTGCAGTTCTCTTGCATTTTTCACTGTTTATGATACATACAACATGGGAAGTAAGTGTTAATTGACTGATTATGTTACCAAGGCTTCCAGTCAACAGCAGATTGTTAGAGTTAAGTTTTGGGGGAGTTCAAAAGTTGTATCCAGAGTTTGATTAGTAGTGGAAGCAGAAAGTGGAGCCTAGCATGCCCTGAGCAGCCTGCCACCACTAGCCTAGTCATCCTCACTCAAGAGGAGCTGCCACAGCAGGCCATCACTGCACTAGTGAGCAAGAGACAGATTCAGCAGCCACTTGCTGCTCATGCCAAGCCCAGTGCTGGGAGCAATGGCTGGGGTGGCCTCACATTTATTGCCTGTGGGTAGAAACTAAAAAGATCATCTCAGTTTTGGGAGCAGTGGAACAGTTCAATTTAAGAAAAGGATATGGGGCTGGGGATATAGCTCAGTTGGTAGAGTGCTTGCCTAGCATGCACAAGACCCTGGGTTCAATCCCCAGCACCACAAAAATAAATAAATAAATAAATAAATAAGATAGAATAAAATAAGTGGATATGGTCTCATCAGTGGGAATGATATCAAGGGAGATATATTTGAAGGTCAGCTTGTCATGTAAAAACCCCCAGAAGTCCCTTAATGATAAAGAGGATAGAAAGACTGGAGTTTGATGTAGAAAAAGAAGAGGTAGAAGCAGCAAATGTGTCAGGATCTGGTAGAGTTCCAGTTCAAGGCAGAAAATATGCAATAGACCATAACCACTTTAGATGTGATTTACATCATAGGGGATCATCCATACAGTCACCAGAATTACCAGAATAGACTGGGGGAAAGGCTGAGGGGTCAGAACTGATCTCCAAAAGGAAAAAACACCCCCCCACCTACTGCAGAGACACCACAGATGTGAAACCACAGAACCAACCATGCAGGGAGATGTGATACAGGGTGCTGATGCTGACAACCATGGTGCAGGGAAGGTGGACCAGTGAGAAATGATGTGTATGGGCTTAAAGACCATGATTCCTAGAGAAGATGGCAACGAAGATAAAATCAAAGAGACTTGAGGTCAGCAGCCATCTCAATCTTAGTAGAGCCGCAACTTCAGTTACCCTGCAGATGCCCAGAAAAACCTGAACCATAGGATAGCACAGTGCCAGAGGCAGCCTATCCATCAGCTTAGACTTCATGGGCTCCCAAGGCTGAGCAAGGTAGGGCTAGGTAAATGCCACCTTACCATCTTCACCATCATCCAGTCATCCAAAAAGAAAAAAATAAATACAAAATGAACAGAAGTGAAGACCTGAAGTGCTTGCTTTTTTATCCACTAATGAGGTAATTAGAACCATGTGCATTATCTATGCAGCATGGGAGTTTTTGTTATTTTTAATAATTGATACTCTGCTGATAACAAATTTGAGATTTTTTTGTTTTTTAAAAAGCCTGTTTGTTCTCAATACACCTATATAAGCTTTTAAATGCTTTTGTATCTGGTCAGGTTAAAATTTTTAAGAACTCCATTTATAATTTATAATAAACAGGGTCTCATACTAAGTATACACCCAATCCCTTATGAACTGATACTTCTTTAAAAAAAAAAAGTTAACACTTGCAAGCACCTATTAATAAAGGTCTTAAATCACTTTAAAACAAAATTTATAAGCAAGCTGAGTAAACTGACAAATGCCTATAAATACCACCTATTCAGCAGTAGAAGGATCTTAAAAAGTCAAGGCCAGCCTGGGCAACTCAGTGAGACTGTCTCAAAAATAAAATTTTGGGGATGGGGATGTGGCTGTGGTAGAGCACTTGCCTAGCATGTGTGAGGGCCTTGGTTTGGTCCCCAGTGCTGCAAAAAGTGATAAATAAATAAATGAAAACTAAAATTTAAAAAAGGATTGGGGATGTAGGTCAGAGACACAGCACTTATGTAACATGCATGAGGTCCTGGGTTCAGTCCCCAGTACTATAAAATAATTGAATGAATAAGTTATGAATAAGTTATAAGCAGATATTTCAACTATGCAGTTAACCCCTAAATTGTTCAAGGGTCAACTATACAAATAAAAATTATCACTTTAAACTACTTTTATGTGTGTAGTATTAAGTACATGCACATCATCCATCTCTAGAACTCACTCTTCATCGTGCAGACCTGAACACTATACCTGTTAAACAGTAACTTCCTACTACCCTTGCAACCACTACTGTGCTGTTTGTCTACAGATGTGACCATTCCAGGTTCCTCACATAAGTGGAATTGTACAGTATTTACATCCCTTTGTAATTTACTGATTTTTACTAATACCTACTTTTTAAATAATAACATGTCACACAGTTTGATCACCTAACACACTCACTACACACTTGGCTACTTCTAAACTCAAATATACACTTTGAAGGGCCATACTTGTTATGACTGGAAAAAGTACAAAAAAAAACCAAAAAACACAAGTTCTATGGCTAACTTCAAAAAAGAAGTTCACAAAATATTTTGCAAAATGATACTTCTAGAATATGGGGGGAGCCTCCCGTGGTGAATTCTTTGTAGGAGACAATTCTCAAATTATATGTATGTCAATCTTACCATTATCTTTAGCATCTCAGATTAAAAATATTACATAACATCCTAGCAAGTAATACTAGAAGGGAAAAACCCCAGCAAGCTGCCATGTATTCATAACTGACTCTGCGTGAAGACTTACTTTCCAGCTCCTCCACCAAAAGACAGGCCAGCAGAGTTCATCCCTGCCAGGACAAAGTAGCCCTGTACTACAGGAGACTCGCCCATGATGCACCTCATGTCTGGTGTGAAGGTCTCAGGGCAGTTCACCAACTTCATGATCTCCAGAGTCTCCAATTCTGGCATTCTACGCAGGAGGGAACTCAACAGGGGCTCTGAGCAATAAAAACAAACCCAAATACAGTTTACCTTTAGGGAATTTAAAAACTTTCAAATCTTTTATATACATATACATATATTTTTTTTTTATACATTGATGGACCTTTATTTTGTTCATTTATTTATACGTGGTGCTGAGAATCAAACCAGTGCCTCACACATGCTAGGCAAGTGCTTACCACTGAGCTACAGCCCCAGCTCCAATATATATAGGGAGATTTTTTTAAACTACTACTCCTTTCAGAAAACTTCTCAGGAGGGATTTTTCTAAGAGCCAAGTGGGCTATTTATCAGAAATCAGAAAGCTTGGTGGAATTACAGGACACACCTGCAAAATGCTTGGCATAAAGACAGAAAAAACACACTCTAGAAAGGAAGAGAGCTACTGAACGGCATAATACATGTGGCCAGAGAGAGTAATGGAATGAGCCAGTATTGAGTGGAAAAACTCTTAAGTGATGCCCAAAGAGATATCAATGAAAGACTATGTTTTCCTTTGTTGGAATAGCTCCAAGACAGACCCTTACCCATTTTTAATAATGAATCTGTCATCTGGCCATAATTCCGTAGGACATTGGTAATAGATGAATCCAGGGTAGAGTTGCTTGGGTTCGTGGGGGTGGTGGTGGTGGGACAGTGTTCATCATATTACTTTATATACTTTAAAAAGTTTCAAACTTCCCATAAGAAGTTTATTTTTAAAAGAAAGTTCACATAGTGCTGGTAGAGTGTATACCAAATATGTTCAAGGCCCCAGTCCAGTCCACCACCCATAACAAAAAAAAGCCATCAAGAATGAAAGGGGGGGGGCTGGGATGTGGCTCAAGCGGTAGCGCGCTCGCCTAGCATGCGTGCGGCCCGGGTTCGATCCTCAGCAGCACCACATACCAACAAAGATGTTGTGTCCGCCGAGAACTAAGAAAAAATAAATAAATGTTAAAATTCTCTCTCTCTCTCTCTCTGTCCCCCTCTCTCACTTTCTCTTAAAAAAAAAAAAATTTAAAAAAAAAAAAAAAAAAAAAAAAGAATGAAAGGGGGGCTGGGATGTGGCTTAAGCAGTAGCGCGCTCGCCTGGCATGTGTGCGGCCCAGGTTCGATCCTCAGCACCACATACAAACAAAGATGTTGTGTCCGCCGAAAAACTAAAAAATAAATATTTAAAAAAAAAAAAAAGAATGAAAGGGAAATGCATCTTCAGAGATACTTTTCTATTTCTTGAATTTGGAACCATGTAACTATTAATTATTGAATAAATAAAATTAAGAGACCACATAATAAAACAATTCTGCTTTTTAAAAAGTTCTTCAGTTTTATATAAAATATGACCAAAAGTCAGTCTCCTAGCCTAAAATTTCTGCAATGATTTAGGGGAAAAAATAATAAACCAAGTTTGTTAACCAAGATGTTAGTTCCCTAAACTTGCTAACCAGTAACTGTATCCCTACACTAGGCAAACTATGGAGAATGTTTTGGTGACTACTACTGTACTATTCCTGAAATGCTTTGAGAAATATAACACCTTTGGAAAAAAAATAAAAGTAGAACATCTTAGACAAATTGATGGTATTATCATTACAATGTAATTCACACACCAAAATGATCCCAGTCTTCCTGCAGATTCTGAATTTCCAGCTGGTTCTTTCCCTCAGTGAAAATAGGTTTTGGGTTCTTTTCAAAGCCCCCAGACAAGATGCCACCCTGCCAGTTCCGAATATAAATTCTTCCATCAGCATCAACAATAGCTGAGAAGGAAAATGACAAGGGAGTGGGGAGTAGGAAAAACAAACAAACAAACAAACAAGAGTTTAGAGGCAAGCCAGCTTTCTAAATGGACATAAAAGAAACAAAATACCCATGAATGGATTTATTAAGGAAATGGCATCCAATACACATAGGCATCAGTCAGCTTAAAAATACCTTTGGAGATCATGGGGGAGGATCTTCCTAGCAGATTTACAGAGACGACAGTTTCTCTGATTATCCCTAACTTTAGCAGGAACCTAGAAGCTTTGCAAAGTCTCACAACCAAACTACATGACTGCCATGTGCCAAGCAAAAGTCTAACAGAAAGGGGACTGCAGAGCTTGAAAACAATATCGAAACCCTCTCCTAGAGTACCTGGAGCCGATATACCACCCAAGTTTATGGTTTACCTGTAACATTTCTACAATTGATAGCATTCAAATTAAAAACTGAAAGTTACATTCCAAATATTCTCAATTACCTCTTTTTGGGACTAAAGTTAGCTTGCAAAAACAAAAACAAAAAATTCCTTGATGACATGCCCATTTGACTATCCTTTCATAAAGAAATATCACAGAAAAGTTAGAATTGAGTCTACCTCCCTGTAACATGCTGCAGAAGATAAAAGACTCAGGTACAATCTGTCCTTTTCAGAAAGTCTTCCTTTTCAGAGGACAGGATACTGGCAAGTAGATAAGATTGTAAAAAAATACAAGTCCTCACTTGGTGTGTTGCTCTGCAGAGGGGTCTCCAAGGGGCGAGTCAGAAGGTAGAAGTGTTCGCAGGCATGTAACGGGATACTAACCGGCTCCTCGTTGGACAGACCCAGCTCGTATGCCCACTACAAATGGACAGATTTATTTGTGGGTAGGAAGAGGAACAGAAACACAAATGAGCAAGTTTAGCCTCTTGAAAAGAAATTAATTTCAAGTGGCTTCTGTGTGCTCTTGCTAGAGTGACAGGTGTGGGAAGCCAAGTTTCAGCCTGCTTTAATTAGTTCAAGAATTTGGATGGGGAGCAACACTAAATTTTTTAACATAAAAATAACCTTTTAATCAAAGGACAATAGATTTACCAATCAGTCAGCAGAAGTCCTTTTAATAAAATGCCTGGCCTCAACTAATAACTCCAGATACCAATCATTAAGTAAACTTCATAAAGCAAGGAGTATTTCCTAGATCACCTTAAGACTGCAGAGTAGAAGGAAAGGTACCAATTTGCCTCAGAAGTAGAAGGAGCTTAGTGTTCAAACATGGTCCTAATACAATAAAATAGCCTAATATTTTAACTGCTAGGTTGTAGAATGAAATTTAATATTATGGAAATACCCAAAAGCAAGGATTCATGTCAATGTCTAACTATTTGCTGGCATTCCTGACCAGATGGCACCAAATAACCTGGTGCAGAAGGAGGAAAAGGTCACAGATGCTTCTATTTGAGGAATAAGTATAATTTTCTGATTCAGATAAAAGAATTCTGATTTTTTCAGTCCAAACAAGAAATAGTATAGTACCTAACTTCTCTTTAGTCCATCACAGTATTAATCTTAATGCTCTACACCAAAAATATCCAAATTAAATAAGAAAATCATCTGCTCAATATTGTTGCTAACCTACCTGGCCAGCACAGTTGACAAAATACTGGCATTCAATCTGTCCTTTATCTGTTTCCACACCAGTAACTTGGCCTTTTTTGACCATTATATGAAGAATAGTTGTCCGGTCATAAATCTGAACACCTGTGCCAAAATAAAGAAAAAGCTGGTACATCATCTGATGTTCCAGAATGAAACATCTGCAGCAGATTCTCCACCCTAAAGAATAACTGAATAAGTAGGTCAGTGCTCTAATTTAAGAAATAAAAACCCTTAGGAATGACATCTTGAGACTATGTAATGGGCCTTGCTCAAGACTGAAAATAGCTGATCAATTTAAAAACAGAGTCTAGTACATATTAGTTGAAAATATGGAGCAAGGATGAAAGAGTTCAAATAGGGAATCTTTTTTTTAATTTATGATTTTTTTATATCTTTCTTTATTTTTATGTGGTGCTAAGGATCGAACCCAGGGTCTCACACATGCAAGGCGAGCGCTCTACCACTGAGCCACAACTCCAGCCCAAATAGGGCATCTTAAATCCCAATCTACCCACATCATGATCAGTTCACCTAAAGTATATAACACCCTGGATACTACTCTTCCCATCATACATCTGAACCAGATCATGATTTAAGCTGTGCATCCAATCTCCAAGGCTAACCTTAGAGCTTCTTAAGTCCTGGAGGAAGGGGAATTCCCCTAAGTCTGAAACTTATCACTCATCTGCAATAAAAAGCAGTTACTTGGGGCTGGGGATGTGGCTCAAGTGGTAGCGTGCTCTCCTGGCATAAGTTCAATTCTCAGCACCTCATAAAAATAAAGATATTTAAAAAAAAAAAAAACAGTAGTTACTTGAAATTTTTAACATGAAAAATGTGGCCCAGGCTGGGTGAGTAGTTCAGTAATAGTAGAGTGCTTATCCAGGATGTGCAAGGCCCTGGGTTTAATCCCCATTACTAAGGGCAGTGGGTGAGTGGAAGCTCGATATGACCCTGAGAAAAAATACTTATCAACAGATACAAAAAAAAAAAATACTATATTTTTAAAACTCTTGAGATCCAGTATTCAAAGGCAGGAAGATGAATACCCAATGAGGACACTTTTTCCAAATGTGAATTGGAATCATTGCCTCCTACCATAAGACACTTCTCAGGTAACTTCTTTCTCCCAAACCCATGTTAAGAAAACACAAAACCTGCTCACCATTTTGGGAGGCAGCACTTGCCAGGGCAAGAGCCACATCAGCAGAGGACACCACAGCATCCTCAGGAACATGCATGGCCCCCACCAGGTCGTGCACATTGAGGAGAGGGTAAAGTTCAGCCACTTTCTTTGGGGAGATGATCTCTGAAGGGATGCCTGTAACACTGCCAATGAACACAAGGGGACAATGACATTCATGGGCTCTTTGCAGAGGTCAGTTTGGCAAAGTCAGGACAGGCTTCTAGCCTCTTACGTACTTCAAACTTGAGTTGATGCGCTTCAAGGAAATGAGCCGGTCCTGTGTTTGAGCCAGGAAGATTGAGCCTGTCCTTATGTAACCTGTAAGGAAACATCAGTCAAACTGAGACAGACCAGACCAAATGTAAAGAGGGCTCCACTGCATTATAGGTTAAATGTGTCCCAAATCCTAACAATGTCACTCAACATCCCTGGGTAAGCCAATTAGCTTCTTTTGAACTTTTAGTGAAAATTTAAAATACACCAGATGTATAAATATTCTCAGCTCATCATCTTCTGAGAAACAAACGAGGTCCTGATGTACATAAGATTGCTCATAATAGGCTGGGCATGGTGGGGCATGCCTGTAATCTCAGTGGCTCAGGAGGCTAAGGCAGAAAGATCTTGAGTTCAAAGATAGTATCAGCAACTTAGCAAGGCCTAAGCAACTCAGTGAGACCCTGTCTCTACATAAAATACAAGAAGGGCTGGATATGTGGCTTAGTGGTTAAATGCCCCTAAGTTTGATACCCAGTACAAAAAATAACAGCTCAAGAATCTTTTTTAGGCAAGATGTGACTTAGAATCCATCCTTTTTTTTTTTTTTTTTTTTAACTCCTAGGCAATTTCACCTTTCCTCTTCCTAGTCCTGGTCGGAGTATAATTCTTGGCAAACTACACATAACATTAGCTATCAGAGGGCAGGTCCTCCCTCTCCTTCCCTAGTACAAATAAACAATGGGCTTGTCACTTAAGCTTAGTCAACTGGACCCTCAGTTTGTAGCAAGTGGGTTAATGACTGGAGAGCTCTCATTTTAGGGGCAGCAGTGTCCTGGCCATTCCTATTCCTCACATCCTGGCCCCCCGGTTGCCTCCAGCTGGCAACCTCCTGCCAACTCCACAAGTGCCCAACATCCTTCCAACAAGCTCCTTTTTTCCCTCAAGTTTAACAGTCTATTTGGAATCAATATACATGATATATTACTACTATTATACTGGAGTCAATGAATATCCTAAAACACTTTCAGTTCTTGTGAAGGAAACAATGATCAGTCAGGTATCTTTAAAATTAGGATGTATAGGGGGCTGAGGTTGTGGCACAGCGGCAAAATGCCCGCCTAGAACGTGTGAGGTGCTAGGTTCGATTCTCCGTACCACATAAAAATAAATAAAAATAAAGGTATTCTGTCCAACTACAACTAAAAAAAATTTTTTTAAATAGAATGTATAGTCAGGATAATTTAAATAGTTCAAAATCTCTTGAAATCATCAGATAAATATGCCCTACACTGACATGACAAGAAGATCCCAGTTTAAATGATCTGAATTTCAAAGCCTAGTGTTTAAAATTAGTAGATATACCAGCTTTGCGCAGTGATCTTGGCCAGTGATCTGTGGGCTAATCACACGCTGGATTTCACTTTAAGACAGATGAAGGGGTCAGCAACTATTTTGTAATCATTATGAAAGATTATTTAGAGGAAGGTACTACTTATTGTACATGCACCTACACAATAAAGCATGTTATACTATGTTAAATCACATTCCCAAAAGTTACATTTCACTCCACCCATTAATAAGATTAAAATTTCATTATTTTCCTACAGAAGACTTTAAAGGTTTTGACTAAAGGAATTCTGACATATAATTTGTGTTGTTAGATGTTAAAAGTCACGGGCTGGGGTTGTGGCTCAGAGGTAGAGCACTTGCCTACCATGCATGAGACACTGAGTTGGATCCTCAGCACCATATACAAATAAAATAATGTTATAACTAAAATAAATATTTTAAAATGTTAAGAGTCATAAAATAGAATTCTTATAGATCAATAAAGAAACAAAGGAGGGCTGAGGATATGGCTCAAGCGGTAATGTGCTCGCCTGGCATGCACGGGGCGCTGGGTTCAATCCTCAGCACCACATAAAAATAAAATAAAGATGTCGTGTCCACAGAAAACTGAAAAACAAATATTAAAAAAATTCTCTCAAAAAAAAATAAAGAAACAAAGGAGACATATGATAATAAAAGGCAATTCAAAGAAGAATTATAAATGGCCAGTAAACCTATGAAATGATTTTTAACTGAAAGAGATGTAAATAAGAATCCTGAAAGTTTTTTTTTCCACCCCTCAGGATTAGCAAAAATAAATACCCAATGTTGAGAAGACTGTAAAGAAATAAGCACTCTCTCTTCTAAAAATCAAAGGGAGATCAGTAGAGAAAGGGACCAAAGGGTGGGAAGTGGGAAATGCTGGGGAGTGATTCTGGCCAAATTATATTGTTACATTATATGCACATACAAATATTTAACAACTCCCATCACTATGTACAACTATAATGCACCAATAAAAACTGTGGAAAGAAAAAGAAAGAAGCACTCTCATACATTATTGGTGAGAGTATAACCCTTTAGGAGAATGATTAGGCAATAACCATCCAAATATAAAGTACCTATATCCTTTGTCCAACTTATCTCTTTTCTAGAAGGAATCTACTCTTTAGAATTAGGAGAAAAAAAAAGGTATTTGGACAAAAATCTTAACTGAACCATTAGGCACAGTGGCATAAAAGTAGGTGGAAGGGGCTGGTGTTGTGGCTGAGGGGTAGAGTGCTTGCCTAGCACATGCGAGGCACTGGGTTCGATCCTCAGCACCACATAAAAATAAAATAGACATTGTGTCCACCCAAAACTAAAAAACAAATATTTTTTAAAAAAATAAAAAATAAATAAAAAGGTATTATGTCCAACTACACTAAAAAAAATATTTATTTAAAAAAAAAATGTGGGGCTGGGGATGTGGCTCAAGCGGTAGCGCGCTTGCCTGGCATGCATGCAGCCCGGGTTCGATCCTCAGCACCACATACAAACAAAGATGTTGTGTCTGCCAAGAACTAAAAAATAAATATTAAAAAATTCTTTCTCTCTCTCTCTCTCTCTCTCTCTCCCTCCCACTCTCTCTTAAAAAAAATTAAAAAATAAAAAATAAAAAAAATTTTTAAAAATGTGGGGGGACCTATAAATAGATGACAAGCTTTGAATGGCAGGTGCTATGGAACACCGCTCTGCAGTTAAAAAATGAAATAGGATTATGTGTTAATCTGGAAAACAGCCTAAAATGTACTTTTATTTAACTATTATTAAAAGTGGCTTGGGGCTGGGATTGTGGCTCAGCGGTGGAGCGCTCGCCTAGCATGGGCAGGACCCAGTTTTGATCCTCAGCACCACATAAAAATAAAGGCATTATGTTGGGGCTGGGGATGTGGCTCAAGCCATAGCACGCTTGCCTGGCATGCGTGCGGCCCGGGTTCAATCCTCAGCACCACAAACAAACAAAGATGTTGTGTCCACAGAAAACTAAAAAATAAATATTAAAATTCGCAAAAAAAAAAAAAAATAGGCATTGTGTTGTGTCCATCTACACCTAAAAAATAAAATAAAAATTATATTTAAAAAAAGTGGCTGGGCGCAGTGGTGCACACCTATAATCCCAGTGGCTTGGGAGGCTGAGGTACGAAGATCAGAAGTTCAAAGCCAGACTCAGAAACTTAGTGAGGCCCTGAGCAATTCAGCAAGACCCTATCTCAAAATTATAAAAAGGGCTTGGGATGTAGCTCAATGGTCAAGCACCCCTGGGTTCAATCCCTTGTACATAAAAAAAAGTTACCATATTTGAGGAAATAAGAGAAATAATTTCAAAAGTAAGTAGAGAAAGGGACTAGGGTTGTGGTTCAGTGGTAGAGCGCTTGCCTTGCACGTGTAAGGCACTGGGTTCGATCCTAAGTACCACATAAAAATAAGTAAATAAAGTTATTTTGTCCATCTACAACTAAAAAAAATATTTTTTAAAAAAATATGGTACAGAGAGCACATGGTTAAATACATGTATTAACAAAATGTCATATAAGAGGCTGGGGTTGTGGCTCAGTGGTAGAGCACTTGCCCAGCATGTGTGGGGTACTGGATTTGATTCTCAGCATTGCATAAATAAATAAAATAAAGGTCCATCAACAACTAAAAACATACATATAAAAAATTTTTTCAGTTTGGTTTGGGGTTGTGGCTCAGTGTTATTGTGCTCACCTAGCACATGTAAAGCACTGGGTTCGATTCTCAGCACCACATAAAACATAAATAAATAAATAAAATAAAGGTGTTGTGTCCCTCCTACAGCTTAAAAAAATTTTTTTTTGTTTTTTTAAATTTCAGTTTAAAGCCAGGCGTGGAGGCACGCATCTGAAATCTAGCAGCTCAACAAGTTATGTCACTTGCCCATGGTAACGTTCCAGCTGGTGGCAGACTAGACTAAAACCCTAGTCTTAATTACCAAATCACCAAGCAAACCTGGTATAGGATCAGATAAAGTAAATACTTTTAGTCTAGAGACAGACCAGTAAATGGCAAATTACCTGCTTACCTGTTTGGATCCCTGTTTCTTGCTCTAACTGATGGTAGAGTCTGTTTGAATAGTCTGCCATCTTCTGCTCAATGGTCAACTGCCTGGCAGTGCTCAGGATGCCAGCACAGAACCTGGTGGAGCCAGCAGCCAACCTGCAAGACGGATGCAAAATGCTATTAGGCAGATTCACATATCGGAGTATGTTCGAGAACCCTCATTATAATATTGTTTGTAATATCAAAAAATGCAAATACGGTTTAAAATTTTGGAGATCACCAAATCTATCTGGGGTGGGAGTTCCATCTCTCCCAACATAGAACTCCTTGAGTTCTGATAGTCGCTCTCGCCTTAGGGAGAATGTCAGAAATATAATTTTAAGAATAAGGGATGGGCTGGTGGCTCAGTGGCGTTGTGGCTCAGCATAGCACTTGCCTAGCATGTTTTTTTTTTTTTTTTCTCAGCACCACATATAAACAAGTGAATAAAATAAAGATCCATCAACAACAAAAATATATACAATTTAAAAAAAGAGTGGACTGGGACTGTGGTTCAGCAGTAGAGTGCATGCCTAGCATGTGAGAGTCCCTGGGTTCGATCCTCAGCACCACATATAAATAAATAAACATAAAGGCATTGTGTCCATCTACAACTACAAAAAGAATGAAAAGGGTTTTTTAAATATATTTTTTTATGTGGTGCTAAGGATCAAATCCAGCACCTCACATGTGCTAGGCAAGCACTCTAAACTGATATGTGTGTGCATTTAAGTAAATAAGTAAATGAGGTAGAGGAAAAACTTTCCAAGAGTAGAATGCCAACTAAAAGAAGAAGGATGAGGAAAGAAACCTCACCATTTGGCAAGCATCATGGTGGTAGGTGCAGCCAATGGAAGTTAAGCCTGGTAAGTAGAGGTATGACATTAAGATATTGGCAAAAATCTCAGAATCCATCTCCCCAAAGGTTGCTAGCCCATTATAAGAGGGCAGAAGGGGCAGGGCACATTTATAATCCCAGCTATTCAAAGTTCAAAGCTAGCCTAGGCAATTTTGTGAGATTATCTCAAAAACTGGAAGGAGGGGGAGGTGGGGATGTAGCTCCATGGTAAGAGTGCTTGCCTAGTCTGATTCAATCTCCAACGCCAAAAAAAAAAAAAAAAAAAAAAAAATGGCTCCCACAGAGATACTCAGAGGACACTAACAAAACTGGGTGATCAGGATTATTCCCACCAGTAGTACATGCCAGCCATGCACTTCCTGGTGTGGTACACTGCAAAAAGCCTAGCACCATTTCTGTGGTCTTCCTGCCTAAAATTTTTGGTCTCATTGTGGTGACAGATGTACAACTCTGTGAACAGACTAACAGCCAATGACCTATGCACTTGACAAGGATGACTGGTATGGAATGCAATACACTGTTCTTGAAAAACTGTGTGACTCGAGTTTGATCACAAGAAAATGTCAGTTGAACCCAAACTGAGAATTATCCCACAGAGAGAAAGGCCTGTACTCCTTAAAACTGTCAAGGACACGGGAACAGGGAAGGGCTGAAGAACTGTGCCAGCAGAAGAGACATGACAACTGAACACAAGTTCCTGAAGAGAATACTGGACCAGAAAGGACAGAGAGACTTTATTGGAATGGTTGGCAAAATCTGAGTGAGGCTGATGAATCTGATAGTAGTGTTGTATTCATATTTTCCTGATATTCAGGTATGATGGTTATGTAGGAGGTTGCACTTGTTTTTTGAGGAAAAAAACACCCTGAAATGCTTAGAGGTGCTGGGTTATCAGGTCTGCAACTTATGCTGAGATAGTTATAAAAAAGGGAATATATACATACACCCTCTCCTCTCTCTCTCTCTCTCTCTCTCTCATGGCTATGTGTATACCCATCTACAAAGAACACAGCAGGTGATACAACGGATACATTAGAATGTTGACAATGGGGGAACTTTGGTAAAAAAAAAAATATGGATATTCTCTGTACTGTTCTTGAAGCTTTTTAGTGAATTAAGTCATTTCAAAATAAATTTGCTAGAAAAATATTAATGCAAACATGCCAATTATTACAGAATTTATAAAATATATAGAATTAAAATATACAATAACACAAAGGGCAAAAGGAGGTAAACAATTATACTGTTATGTCCAATAATACTCAAGTAGTGGTATAGTAGTACTTCATAATGGACAAATAAATTAAGAATACATAGGGCTGTAATGTTTCTCTGTTGAAACTAAGAATTTTATGATTAAAAAATGCTACTAGGGCTGGGACTGTGGCTCAGTGGTAAATCGCTTGCCTCACATGGGCGGGACCCGGGTTCGATCCTCAGTACCACATAAAAATAAAGGCATTGTGTTGTGTCCATCTACACCTAAAAAATAAATATTTTTTTTAAAATGCTACTAAAAACAAAACAAAAAACAGAATACATGGGGCTGTGGGTGTAGATCAGTGGTACAGCACTTGCCTACCATGCAGAAGGCCCTGTGTTAAATCACCAACACCACAAAAGGAGGAAAAAAGAATACATATTCTGATCTCTATAATCATTAAAAAAATAATACAAAGGCAGGAGGGTCACAAGTTCAATAGCAGCCTGGTCAATATAGTGATATCTGTCAATAACAATAACTGATGATGATGATGATGATACAGAGTAGCTTAAAAGTCCACAAAGATAGGGGCTGGGGTTGTGGCTCAGTGATAAAGTACTTAACAGGTATGTATGAGGCACTGGCTTCAATTCTCGGCACCACAAAAAAATAAAGGTCCATTGACAACTAAAAAACCATTGAAAAAAAAAAAGTCCACAGAGATAAAATAGAATACTAAAAATATGTGATTCATCTAAAGGAAGGCAAAAACTGAAAAAGAAGCAAAGCACATAAAGAAAGCATATTTCTTTTGGGAGAAGAAAGCAATAAAAATCTAGCTAAAAGATAACTGTTTACCTAATGTAATTTACCCTATTTTACAAGCACAAATTTTTGTTGAAGTCTAAAATGTTACAGAAAACTCAAAACTGTCAAGGTCACCAAAAACAAGGAAAGCCCAAGAAACTGTCACAGCTCTTAGGAGTCTGAGAAGACATATGATGACTGGGAGAAATGGATCCTTGGTGGGATCCTAGAATAGAAAAAGGATATTAGGAGAAAAGTAAACAAAAATAAATAAAGAATGAGCTTTTGTTAATACTAATGCATGAGTTCTGATTTGGTAATTGTAATAACGTAAGATGTTAGGTGAAAGTGGATCTAGGGAGGGTGGGGTTATAGCTCAGTGGTAGAGGGTTTGCCTAGCTTGTATGAGACCGAGTTCAACTCTCAGCACCACACATAAATAAATCAATTAAAAGTCTATTGACAACTAAAAATATTAAAAATAATAAATAAATTTAAAAATTAAGGGCTGGGGTTGTGGCTCAGCAGTAGAGTGCTCGTCTCGAATGCATGGGACCCTGGGTTCAATCCTCAGCACTATATAAAAAATAAATGAGTGAAATAAAGGTATTGTGTCCAACTATAAAATAAATATTTTTTTTAAAAAATTAAGAATAATAAAAGAAAGTGCATAGGGTATATGGGAATTTTATAATAACCCTCAGTTTTTCTGTACATCTAAAGCTGTTCAAAAGTAAGCTAATTAGGACTGGGGCTCAGTGGTAGAGCATTTGCCTAGCATGTGTAAAGCACTGGGTTCAATCCTTAGCACCACATAAAAATAAATAAGGGTATTGTGTCCATCTATGATTTTTTTAAACATTTATTTTCCAGTTGTAGTTGAATACAATACCTTTATTTTAATTTATTTATTTATTTTATGTGGTGCTGAGGATCAAACCCAGGGCCTCATACGTTCGAGGTGAGTGCTCTACTGCTGAGCACAACCCCAGCCCGTGTCCATCTGTAATTAAAAAAATATATATATAAAAAAAATAAGGACTGGGATGTAGCTCAGTAGCAAAGCATCTGCCTTGCATGATATAAATAAATAAATAAATGAAAATCAATAATGGAGATATAGGCAGAATGCAATCACTTTTATCTCAGTTCAAAGTCACAGGACTTAAACTACTGGGTGACAACAAAGAGAATGAGATAAAATGTGTTGTAAACACATACATCCTTTTTTTTTTTCTTTTTAGTACTAGGGACTGAGCCCAGGGTGCTCTACCACTGACTACATCCCCAGCCCCTTTTTGTTATTTGTTTGTTTCTGAGACAGAGTCTCAGAACTCCAACTTGCAATCTTTCTGTCTCATACTACTGAGATGAGACAGAGATTACAGGTATGCAAGTGTAATCTCTATATAAATCCTTTTAAGATACTTGTTTTGTTGAAATCTACTACCTTTCTAAAAACCCAAACATTAGTATCACTAAACAAAGTGCAGAAGATTTCACCTCAGTTCTTCTCATGACACTGGGCAACATTTGGATTAACTATTGGTGGGACATTATCGTGGAGAAGAGAGGGAATGAGGGAGTCCCTTACCATTAGTACAGCACAGCCACAAGCTAAGTCCCATTTGATCCTTACCTGCCCTGCTCCAAAAGGACAATGTCTGTCCACCCCATCTTGGAGAGGTGATAGGCCACAGATGTGCCCATGATTCCACCCCCACAGATGACAACCTGGGCCTGGGCAGGCAGGGTGATAGATTGTGCCTCAGCAGTTGACGTGTTGTTTCTCGCCGAGGACCAGTTCTGCCATCCTGGGCTGGTTCTTCGTCTTCGGGCAATTGATAGCAACCGGTAAAACATTATGTCTGTCACCAACCAGGAACTATGTTCTTGCTAGCTAAGGCAATCCCAGGAATTCAAACTAGACAGAGAAAAGCAAGCATATTTCATTACATTTAACTCAACGCATAGAACAAACGAGAAAATGATTTAACAAAGAATAGTAATAATTCATATGACACATTTGAGGATCTGAGTTTCAGACACTTTGCTAAGTATAGATATAGAAGTGAACAAGAATAAGGAAGTCTCTGCCTTTATAAAAGTTACATTTGAGGGGCTAGGGCTGTGGCTCAGTGGTAGAGAGCTTGCCTAGCAAGTGTGAAGCACTGGGTTCAATCCTCAGCACCACATAAAAATAAAGGTATTGTGTCCATCTACAATTAAAAATATATTTTTAAAAAAAGTTATATTTGAAAGTTTGTGTGAATTAGTGAGAGGCAACCAATATACAAAAAAAAGTAAAAAACGTTAATGTAATAGAGTAATAACTAGGGACATATTTAAAGTAGGATGGTTAGAAAAGGTCTTCAAGGAAGGTGACATTTGAAAAGAGCCCGGATAGATGAGAAGGAACCAACTATATGAGTGTTTACACAGAAAAACAAGTATGTATAAAAGTCCTGAGGTGGGGAAGGAAGGGGGTATGGAGTTATAAATGATGGTAGAATGTGAAGATCATTATTATCCAAAGTACATGTATAAAGACACAAATTGGTATGAATATATTTTGTATACAACCAGAGATATGAAAAATTGTGCTCTATATGTATAACAAGAATTGTAATGCATTCTGCTGTCATATATTTAAAAAATGAAGTAATTGGGGAAAAAGAAATTTACTGCTGCTGTTTTGTATATATTATCATGAATATCAGTTTACTTTAAGAAATGTAAATAATATTCCTAATTAGAATAAAATACACTCCATGCTTGTATAATTTTATCAAAATGGACTCTACCGTCATGTATAACTAAAAAGAACCAATAAAAAAGTATGCAAATGGGGCTGGAGATGTGGCTCAAGCGGTAGCACGCTCGCCTGGCATGCGTGGGCCCGGGTTCGATCCTCAGCATCACATACAAAGTTGTTGTGTCTGCCAAAAACTTAAAAAATATATATATATTAAAAAATTTTCTCTAAAAAAAGTATGCAAATAAAAAAATAAAGATAATTTTAAAAAAGGTCCTGAGGTAAGACAGACTTTGATGAGACCAATAACAGAAGTCAGCATGTCTGCAGCATGTTAAAAGGAAAACAATCCAGATAAATCTGGAGATAAAGGCAGAAACAACCATCATGAGGAGATAGAATTTTATTCTAAGTGTAAAGAAAACTCACTGAACGAGGGGAGTGGAATAACCTGCTATATTTTTCACAGGTCAGTCTGGCTCCATGCTAGGATGGATGGTAGAATGAGAAAAGTAGAGAATTAGGAAGCTACTGCAGTAGTCCAAGGAAGGGTAGCATGGCTTACACTAGATAGTGGCAATCACTAGATAGTGGCAATCAGAGAAAGTTTCTGAAATGAGAGAACTTATGTGCTAACGAAGTGAATTTTATCAAAGTTGGAAAAAGGAGTAAAAGGGATGATAGCTAAGATTCTGGGATAATCAACTAGTGCCAGTTAGTGTGAAAGACTAGGAATGAGGAAGGAAGGAAGGAAAGAAGTGAGGAAAGACAGTGATCGAAAGGGTAGGCATAGGGGAATGGACAACTAAATGTTACTCACTTAGAAATGCCAAGCAACAGCTGGATATATAAGATGGCAATATGGTAAACAGTTAGGGGTGTCCTTACCCTTAAATACAATGTTTAAAACCCTGTCATTTAGAGAGCAAGGAGAAGAGCACCCGAGGTTCCCCAGTATTTACAGACTGGAACAAGAAGGGAAGGACAAGCGATAAGAACAGAATACTGTGTTGGACTTAAAAAGAGCATCCAGATAAAAAGAGAACTGGCTACAGAGATGGAGAAAGAGTAGTCAGTGCACAGAGAAAAGCCAGGCAGAGGCATGTCACAGATGCCAGGAGAAGAAAGTGTTTCAAGAAGAGGTTAACTGCAGAGGCTGGGGATGTAGCTCAGTGGTACAGCACTTGCCTGGCATGCATGAGGCCCTGGGTTTGATCCCCAATGCCACACACACAAAAAAAGGGGAGGTGAGGTGGTGTTAACTGCAGATGGTGTTGAACAATCAGGGAAGACAACCACGTGTCCAAAGGGATGCGAAAACATAAAGGCCTTGATGTCCTCAAAAAGGAAACATCTTCAAGTATTAGGGATAAAACAAAATAGAGCAAATTGAAGAGTAGACAAGACAAGGGAATAGACAGCTCCATACATTTTACTCTGAAAGGGAGTAGAAAAATGAGACAGAAGAGAAAAATGTGGGGTAAAGCAAAGTTGTTTGCTTTTTAAAAGATGGGGGATATTAAAAGAATATTTTCTTCTGGTAGGAATGGCCCAGCAAAAGGGAAAGGGGCCAATATCAAAGAATGGAATCCTTCAGAAGGAAAGAAGAGATGAGCCCCAGAGTCCAAGAGAAGGATAGCAGGCCTCAAGCTTCCACAGGTGGTCTGGTGGAGATTTAAGTATCAGATATCTTTCCCTAGGAAGGAGAGAATTGTCAGTCATGTAGGCTTATCATTTATACACCCAAGTCACAGTTGGTAAGCAAGCAAACATTTCTACAAGACAACAAATATAATAGGTTAGAAAAGGAAAAAGGTAAAGGCTAGCAGCACTAGCAGAAATAGAAACTAGACTAGGAAGGTAAGAGGTGAGCTGAATCTTGACGGGGGGTGGGGGGTAAATTTTGGACAGAGACAAAGTGATGGGAAACACAAAAGAGAAAGGATAAAATAAATATGACCATGATATCTGCTTGGGAGGACAGTAAGGACCCTGGCACAAAGCCCAAAAAAAATCTATAATGAATACTGGGAAGTAGGAACTGAAGTAGAGCCAGACCATAGAGACTAATACTTGGTCTGATGTGGCAGTTATACAATGAGTTACTACAGGCTGAATGTGACAAAGACAGGATTTTAATAAAATTTAGCAGCAAAACAGAGGACTGCTTTAAGAAACATAAGACTGATCTACTAGCAGACTATACTAGCATTAAAGTACAAGAAGATTGAGGCTGAAGACACCGGGAGTAGTAAATATGGGCATCAGGGCAGCACATTGACAATAAAGCCACTACCACCTCCACTATCAGCATAATGACCCACAGGTGGCTCCCCATAAGTCCATGCTGTCATCAGAGAGGATTCAGATCTGCAATCAATGCCAGGCACAAACTGCATGGCAAGAGAAACTTCATGCAAGTGGAGACTGATTATCATGGCCACCTTGTGGTTGCCACCATGCCTCACCTTCCTGATCGTTGGTATCTATAAGCTTCTCCACACAACTAGTTTTTCTATAATCTCATATAAATGTAGCCAATTTCTCTTCATGGCCCACGCCCCCTACAGACTTCTCTACTGTACCTTCCAGACTACCATTCCCACAACAACTACCCACCCTTCCCAAGGGAAATGCAGCCTTCGAACTGCCATGCCACACAACCCTGGGCCACCCACCTAACTGGCTATCCTCCTAAATTCCCAACCATTACCATCTAGTCATGCTCAAAAAGCCCCCACTCCTTCAGACTAAGGCTAGCAGGCACCCCAACAGGTCAAGGCTCCCCCACAGACAGGTTCTGAATCCACAGCATGCTCCTCTATCACTTTCCACCCACCTCCTTTCTTCCCTCCCTCTAAGCAGCCTGTCTCAGCTCCTTCCCGAAATGCCTCCTATGAACCTACCTTTACCTGCAACTCTCCACTGGTTCACAGTGCATCTCTCCACTAGAGTCCCAGCCACCTCCGCCTTTCTTTTCTGCACCCCAACCCCGTCAACTGTCCTCTTTCACGTACCTGTGTTGTTTCTGTGCCACCTGGCTCCTTCTCAGCATTTTAATATGCGCAAGTCTCTCTCAGGTGATTTAAGACATGAAATAAAAACTTCACAACTTTCTTCAATTAGCTTTTCTTTTTCCCCTTTGTGATACTGGGGATTAAACTCAAGGGCACTCTATAACAAAGCCAAACCTCCATCCCTTTTCATTTTATTTTTTTATGATTTTATTTATTTATTTTCATTACAATTCCTTTTTATTTTTTGAAGACAGGGTCTCACGAGGTTCTTGAGGCTGGCCTCAAATTTTCCATCCTCCTGCCTCATCCTCCCTGAGATTATAGGCATGCACCACTGCACCTGGAGTGATTTAGAATTTTTAAAATTAAAAGTTGTTAATTGAGCTAGATTGTAAGTTCAAGGCCAGCCTTAGCAACTTATTGAGACCCTGTCTCAAACTAAAGAGGGCTGGTGATGTAACTCAGTGGTAGATTTCATTCTCCAATACCATTAAAAAAAAAAAATCCAAATCACAAAGTATAGTCTTTGCAAAAACTCAAAAACAGGAAGGAATTAAGATTTCCCACGACACAATGATTCACCAATACTGGTGCTAATGGTATTTTAACACAATTTTTGTTTCTACAGCAATGGCTGCCCTGATGACACTGATACCATATGGATCTTCAGTCTTAATATACTCATTCTGGAGTCTCACCTGGGCAATCTGCCAGGCAATTTTTAAACAGAAATTCATTCTTGAGCTGGGGATGTAGCTAAGTGGTAGAGTGCTTACCTTGCATGCCAAAGGCCCTGGGTTCAATCCCCAAACCAAACACATATATGCAAAACCCTAGCAACCTGTCATTTTCACTTGACAATAAATTAGTAAACAGAAAGGACTGCATATACTGTTTTATACTTAGATCTCTCCTTAACTTACAGCATTGAGGCATCTGTCCCACCATAACACTGACACTGCTCTTGCCAATAACACTCTAGTTGCTGGTTTCCAAGGACATTCTCCTGGCACTATAACACTTGACCTCTTTAAATACTAATTAACAGCCGATCATTTCTTCCTACCCACATACAAGGTCCTCTACAACTTCTTTTTTCTTTTTGTTTTTTATTGTTGGTTGTTCAAAACATTACATAGTTCTTGATATATCATATTTCACACTTTGATTCAAGTGGGTTATGAACTCCCATTTTTACCCCGTATACAGATTGCAGAATCACATCAGTTACACTTCCATTGATTTATATATTGCCATACTAGTGTCTGTTGTATTCTGCTGCCTTTCCTATCCTCTACTATCCTCTCTCCCCTCCCCTCCCCTCTTCTCTCTCTACCCCCTCTACTGTAATTCATTTCTCCCCCTTGTATTATTTTTCCCGTTCCCCTCACTACAACTTCTTTTCTAAACACCTCTTTGCTGATCCCTCTCCTCTGCCCTGGTCCTCAGAACTTTATGAAGACAATTTCTCTCCTTCCATACACTAACCCAGGGTGATTTCAGTTTCACCATGACTGATGGCCTGACCCACCACATCCTGAACTTCAGATGCACTTATGGAGTACAGAATGACCATCACCATTTGATCAGATAGATAAAATCCACCTCCCTCAACCTCCAACATGTTCACCACTATGCACCCACCTGCTATACACAAAGAAAATAAGAAAAATATCATTGATGACTGGAGATCTCAAGATTAGGTTTCCAGATTTGGGAGGATATGGAGATAATTGAATTGTTTTTAAGTATTTTTATGGATAGCTACAATATGCCAGACACTATATAACAAATACTAAGTCTTCACAACCCTGCGAGGTAGATGATGATATCATTTCTATTCTACTTTTGAGGAAACAGATACACATTATGTTCAGTGATTCACCCAATCTCCTGTATCATGGTGAGGGCACAGCCAGGATTCAACCCTGCCAGTCTGGCACCAGAACCTGTTGTTTATCACCACTTCCCCTGCTACCTTTCCAATAAAAGGAGATGAGCCAGGACAGGGAAGCTATGAGGACAGAACCCAAGGTCCATCCCCAAGGAGGAAAAATGGAATTGCAAAGGTAGCAGAAGAAACATGACAAGAGAGGAGTTTCAAATTGGAATAAACCATGTTAAAAGCCCAAGGTGATAAGAACCAAGAGACTGCTGACCTTGTGCTTATCATGACCTTCAAGAGACTGAAAAGGTGAGGGAAGAAGAGTTTAAAGTAAACAGAGAAGACACCAGAGAAAACCTCCAGCAGGTTTGGCAGAAAAATGGGAAGAAGAAAAAAAAAAAAAGCATGACAGCAAAGGAGGTAAAGTCAGCGAGAAAGATACTGAAGATGACAAAGAAATGAAACACCATCTGGTTTAAAGAGTTTGTTTTAAAGTTCTTGAAAACGACTGTAATACAGACAGGAGCTCCTGCTGAACAGCCTAGGTCTGCTCAGATCTGCTTATACCAACAGCAGCAAGGTGACGAGCTAGCTCCCGAGTTACAGCATTAGGCACAGGTGGGCTGCTGGTCACAAGGAAACTTTGGTGAGTACAGGTGGACTAACACAACATTTGCCACAGCAGAACTCAGCAGTCTCAGCAGAACTGCCAGAGACACCGATTTAAAAGCAAAAGCCCCAGGCTCCACTTCTGGAGATTCTGATCCCTTGGTCCAGGGTGCTATAGTTTTAAACAAGTGCACCTGGTGACCAAGAGTTTGTCAGTCTCAAATCCCTACCACGGAAAACGGACCGTTCGGCCTCTCCCACTCTCCACCCCAGCCCTGCACACTGTGCTTTCAATGCACGCGCAAAAGAGGCTTGCAGATTCCCGACTCAACCGAGTATCACACACAGCAGTCCCAGAGTGCCACACGTTAGGAGGAAATCCCACCGCCCTGGCCTAGACCGTCAGATAACTTCTGCCAGACGCTGCAGCAGTCTGAGTGAGCAAAGCACAGGTGGACCACGCGCGTGAAGGCGGGAAAACGATTTCACCTGCAGAGACGCGGGACCGGGCTAGCCGCGCCGGGAGCAGACTGCGCTGCAGGGGCGTGCACTTCCCAGCCGCAGCGGGGTCCGCGGGCCGCCGCGGGCGTTCGGCTGAAACGCGCGCACCTGGAAGAGCCAGCGCGAAGGCCCGGACAGCCGGCGCGGGCCCCCGAGGCACGAACAACGCGGGTGGACTGACGCCAGGACGCGTCTTTCCAGGAGAACAAGGCGAAGCCCACGGGCAGCAAGGGACCAAGGGACCGCTTCTGGGACAGATGCAAGCGCGAAGCGGGCAACACGGGGGTCCCGGGGCGCGAGGGCCGCGCGGGCCGGGAGAGCCAGAGCGACCCCACGGCTGTCTCCTTACCTCAGCGGCCGCTCGCGCTCCGCGCTCAACAACACGGCGGCCGAAGCGA